TTACAATTACTTATTGACTTATTTGAAATGATTACAATTACTTATTGACTTATTTGAAATGATTACAATTACTTATTGACTTATTTGAAACGATTACAATTACTTATTGACTTATTTGAAATGATTACAATTACTTATTGACTTATTTGAAACGATTACAATTACTTATTGACTTATTTGAAATGATTACAATTACTTATTGACTTATTTGAAACGATTACAATTACTTATTGACTTATTTGAAACGATTACAATTACTTATTGACTTATTTGAAACGATTACAATTACTTATTGACTTATTTGAAATGATTACAATTACTTATTGACTTATTTGAAATGATTACAATTACTTATTGACTTATTTACACTATATGGCATTTTTTGTAATTTATTTAGCATAATGGCTAATTTTATACTGCTCAAAAATGTTAATTAATGAAAGTAGAAATTGTATGAAAACACTGTAAAATTCGATTGAAAAAAAAAAAGTTTTTTGGCTTTTTTTTTCTCTAAATTTTTAAATTATTATTTCATCATAGAATTATGTTACGCAGTATTTTAAGCATTATTTTAATATAATTACAAGTAATTCATTAAGGAAAATAAAAACAGAATGAAATACGTGAATTCCACGTGATAATGGTAAAAAAAAATTTTAAATACGTGAAATCTACGTGATGATGGCTTATAATTGTTTATTCAATATGTAATATATGCATATTTATTGCATAATCATTAAATTTAATTATCAATTATGTCATAGCATGATTATTTCAATTATCAAATATAAAAAATTAATTTGAAATAAAATTAACTTTTAAAACGAAAAGTAGCAAATGAGTTTAGAAATGATTATTTGAGTGAGAGAAGAAAATGACATCAATGAAATGGCCAGAAGTGATGAAAATTGATTGGAAAAATTAAGGTCAAGGTGAAAAAAAAAGCTATTTTATTCATAATTTATAACAAATTTAAAAATTTTTTTTTTTTTAAAAAAAAAAGAAAAAAACAAGTTAAAATAACATGAGAAAGAGCGAGAGAGAGAGAGAGAGAAAGAGATATAAAAAAAAAAATTACTTATCAAAAAGGATAAAAAAATACTAATTGTAGAATTTTATCATTTATCAGTTTGTCAACGCGTACAATCAATCATCTAATAATTATTTATCAATGAATGTATTATATGATAGAAACAATATGAACATACACACATACATACATACAGCATACACACATACACATAAATAGAAACTTTTATTTTGAAAACCGAATTTGTTTATTATCACTTGATGATAACAAAAGAAAAAAAAAATCATTCCTGTTATTGATAACAAAAGATCAATGTTTGCTGTCATACATTTATTTTCTGTTGTTTTCATTTCAATTTGTTTTCTTTCTTTTTTTAATTCCTATCTTATATGATATTTTTCAAATTAATATTAATTCTTTTTTTTTTTCACACATTTGTTTACATAAAGTTAAATTATCTATTATTTTATAATTTTCATTTTTGTTTTTAACATCACATTGATGCAATTTTTTTTTTCTTTTTTTTAATTTTTTAAATGCTAATAATTGACATTTATAGGAGTTTAAATAATTGATCATAAAACATGAAATGATAAATTTTCAAATTTCTTTTTAATTGTTCGAAAGTGGCAAAAGTTGAAATTTTAATCATTCATAATTTATAGCGAAAATTTTTGTGAAAACATTTGATCTAATTTTAGAAAATATCGACATACAATTTTTTTTTTTTTTTTAGTATCATCAATTATTATTTTCAGGTATTTGTTTTCATTTATGTGACATTTTCATCATTCTTTTCAATGTGAATGAAATAGGATGATAGAGAGAGAGAGAGACAGAGACAGAGAAAGAGAGAGAGAGGAAGAAAGAGGAAATGGAATAAAAATATATCATTAAAATTGAATATTTTTTCGTTTTAATTTAATTTTTAAAATTTTATTTATCACTTCGTCATCTTGCCAGATCATCTAGCATAATATGATAATAAATGTTATCATAGATTATGAAATATTCAAATATGTTTTCTTCTTCTTCTTCTTCAAATGAGACATATAAGACAAAGTAATTCCCATTTCATAATTTTCATTTTTAATCTTTACACTAATACAAATGAAATAAAAATGGAGAATAATGAATAGTGCAAAATGCTTTTTAAACGACAAATTCACAAAGTAGACAAAAAGGAAATGCTAATTTTAATCAGATTATAATATCACTTTCTCTCTCTCTCTCTCTCTCTCCCTCTCTTTTTCAATTATTTCAACTGAATAATACAAATAATTTCATTTCATCATCTGTTTAATATAACATTCTCACAAGAACAAAGAATGAAAAAAAAAAATAATAATTCGAAATTATTTGATATATTATTTACTAACAATAATTTCAATTCATTTTATGCACACTCTCTCTCTCTCAGTTAATTTGAAATTGAAAAAAGTAATGCAAATTCAATTGCTTTTATTCTTTTTTTTTTTTCATTTTAAACTATTACGATTTAAAACAAAAAAAAGAAAAAAAAAACACGAGAATAAAAAGTAAAAATAAATAAATGAAAATATATTTTGACAGTAAGTATTTTTTAATAAACAAAACTTTATTTTTTTTTTGTTTTAAAAAAAAAAAAAACTTCATTTTTTTATTATTGAATACTAAATTTTATTCAAATACATACAAGCATCGCATTTTTTTTTCCTGCGTCTGCTTACAAACTGAAATTTTTTGAAAATTTGGTGATACAATTATTTGTATACAAATAATGATATACGCATATATAAAATTATTACAAAAAACCCCAATGATTTATTCCAAACAAAAAAATTTAATTAAAATTTCAATTTTACAAAATAATAATAATTTCAAAAATAGGAAATAATAGTTGTTATTGTATAAGAAAATGTATAATGCTCTAATGGGTTGATAATTGTGTTCATATTACTAAGTAAATAAAAGCATTGAATTGAAATTTAATCAAAATTGTACTATTTGTTTTTGTTAAACATATGCCAATACTATTTACATTTTATTATACTATATAAATTATACTGTAATTGTTTACATAAACTATTTATTTGCATGTTTTTTTTTGTATTCTTTGATTTGTCAATATTTTATTATGTACTTTAGAATGATTCATTCCTTAAAATTAAAATTAATAATAACAGTAATAATAATAATAACAGTAAATGAATAATAATTAATAATGTTGATAATTGATAAGTAAATAGATTTTTTTTTTCTTTTTGTTATCATTTTTACTTAAATCTTAGGTTGATTATAACACAATTAAAGATATTTGAAAATATTATTGAAAAAATTTGTGGAAAAATTATTTCTCAATTATTATTTTGCTTATTGAACGATGAAATAAATTTCAATTATTTCAATTCTTTCTCTCTTTCGTAACAGTTTTGGCAAGCACATAAAATTTTTCATGAATACGAAGCATTAAATGAAACTAAAAATAAATCAGTCAAATTAAAAATGTAAAATTTTAAATAACAATTAAAAGTGCGTACATTTCCATTTTTCATCTAATTTAAACATTTGATCAATAAAAAAAAAGAAGAAAGTAAGTGGATGAATTTAATTAATTTAATAAAAAATAAATATGTGTGAAATATATTGAAAATAAAATAATTTAAAAAAAAAAAAAAAAAAACAATAAAATAATAATAAAATAGTTTTCTAAAATAATTTCAGCTAATATCAAATAATTGAATCGAAAAATGACAAACAGAAAAATAGACGCTGATGAACCATATAAAATGCAATAGGAACGATTCGAAGGTGTACCAATTTCGAAAAATCGATTCTGTGATAATAATTTAGCCAATTCTAAAACGTCAGTATTTGTTTCTATCCAATCTATTTCTCTCTTTCTTGTTTGTATAAACAAACTGCAAGATATCATCATCCTTCTTACTCTCCCTCTCCCTCTCTCTCTCTCTCTCCTTCCCTCTCATTCTTTCTCTCTTGCAATCTTCTCAAAACTATTATCAAACATAAACCTGTTGAAAATTATCATGATCATTTCGATTTTTGCACAGCATCAACACATTAAAAAGGGACCAATGATTGAAAAAAACTGATCAAATATACTTACTTGCTGAAATTAACCACAAATAAATTTTAATTGAAAATTTATACATATGAAACAAAATTTGTGAATGATAGGATTACATCACTGTTATCCTCTCTCCCTCTTTCTCTCTCTCTCTCTCTTTCCCCACTATGTTATTTGAAGGATATATTACAGTTGATAATACAAAAATCACCTTTGCATATAATTACCTTAAAATAAGAAAATGATAAAATGGGATAAGGAAGAAAGTTACCAACGAAACATATTCAAAAATTATTTCAATTATTTTTACCATCTGAACATTCAGTTTTTCAGCAAAACATACTTAGAAATCTTGCGTTTTTTTTTCTTTTTTTGAAGTACATCTATAATGTGCACATATGTTCAAGAAAAACGACAATAAAGAATTTAGAGCAGATGGTAGCTATCTGGAAGGCTAATGTGAATACTACAATGCTTGCCGAAAATATATGGCATAAATGGTAATATAAAATACTTCCAGCTTTATATAGCTCATATTTGTACGAGAATGACACGTTGTGAAAATAGCCAGTTTCTATTGTCATTTGTCTACCGCTACATCTTCTTCCTTTTTCAATCAAACAATCATTGTGACACCAAAAGAGGTATTTTCACATGATCTTTGATCATGTGAAGAACAAAAGAGATGGCATTTCCCCCATCTCCAATTATGTAATTCCTTGCAAACATATAATGTGATACTTAAAAAGATGAAAATTAAACATTTTTCTTCATAAAAAATGGATATGATAATGAAAAGGAATCCTTTAGCTGTTGATGTGCTTAAATAAGTAGAAAGAAGTCAGTATTTATTTCATTTCAAGACATGTGCACTCTCATAAACATTTCAAGATTATTTCAGGCTTACTTAGGTTTCTTCTTGATACGCAAATCATTTGAATGTCCACATTTCTTCTTACGGCAGTTCGTTGCACGTGGTGGGAGACGAGCATAACACTAGAAATATACTAATTTGAAATCTATGTTTTCCTGGAATTAAAATTTCCGGAACAATCATAGTTTAACATATATCTTATCTAACGAAGGCAATAAATGGTTATCGAGAAGTTTAACAATGATAGAAAGAATGATAACGAGAAATTCGGAACGCCGGCAACCTAAATGCAAAAGTCCATTTATAAGAATGTGAAAGGCAATACATAAACACAAACTAAATCTTTGGGATCCAACTTTAAAACCAAATGCATAGGAAAAAAAAAAAATTCTACCAACAACTTGTTAATTATACTCAGTTTTGAGTTTCAGAAAATTTTGGTGATCAATTTCTGTGATTTCCATGCTCCCATAAACAACTTCGCATTCCCCCTTCTTCTTTCAAAGATTTTCTTCAATTTTATAATTCAATTAAAACTTTAACGATCCTCAGAATGCAATGGTAATATAAGTTGGCATACAGCGTGTAAGCATGTAAAAATTGTAACTTAAATTTCAAAATCTCGCCATACTTTCACTAACCTTACGACAAATTTTTTTTTCACAATTGTATTTCTGAGCAAGCTGTCGAAGGGAAGGCTCAATGATACCACCACGAAGACGAAGAACCAAATGAAGTGTGGATTCTTTTTGGATATTGTAGTCCGAAAGAGTACGTCCGTCTTCCAGTTGCTTACCTGAAATTTAAGCAGCTTGTTAAAAAAAGAAAGCGCTTATTAGTTCCTAATTTTCATAATTTAACATTCATTAACATATTACAATGCTTCAAACAAGTTACGTGAGTTGAGTAATTTATCAACCATTCACTGCTATTCAGCAGTTTGCCATTAACCACCTAATTTTATTTCAGAACCTACATCGCCTGTTATTATAGAGAAATTCATTACATTTACATCGACGATACTTCAAATTAAGTTCGTATCATCTTTACCATTGCAACTTCCTAAACAATGCTTAAATCTTGCTAAAAATACTTCATACAAAGATTCTACCTGCAAAAATCAACCGCTGCTGATCTGGAGGTATGCCTTCTTTGTCCTGTATTTTCGCTTTTACATTCTCAATTGTATCTGAGGATTCGACCTCAAGCGTAATCGTTTTACCAGTTAAAGTTTTGACAAAAATTTGCATGGTGAAATCTAGAAATTACATTTGAGATACTTGTCCAAATTGGTTCAATACATATGACGCCGATTCGCGGAAAAAATAATTAAAGAAAAAAAAAGAAATCATTTCAACAATTCGGTTAATGATTAATTCATGATTATCGGAAAAGATGAGACTATTTAGTTGATACCCAAAGATGAAATTTTGTTTGGTGTTAATTCACAATACATTACTGACAAATACAATAACACAACAACACCACGACCTTTAACCCTTCCTTATCAGCCTTCTGTACAACCCACTACCTAAAATCCACCACGTGCCAAATGCAGCCGGACTGGTTTGAAATGAATTTCTGCATGCTACTGAAACCATATGAAGTTAGAGCCATATGCAAATTTTCTTCCCGAAGTTTCCAATTAAAACAAAAAATTTGAATGTGAAATATTAACCAATTAAAGGAATTTATTATTCAAAACTAATATATAAATGATGATTAATAGTTAAAAATTTCATCAAATTTGATGTATTCATCAAAAAATTTGATCAAATTTGTTTATTAAGATCAATTTATATGAAATTTATGAAAACTTCACGCATATATCACTTAGATTATCACAAATGCATATCACATAGTGCCATTTTAATATATCATTTGTATATTTATATATCTTGTAGTAATAATAATAATAATTCTATTGAAATACTACTCATTCTCCATGTTAAATTTTTACTTCCATTTTTTAGTTTTGTTAAAGTAATTTATCAAGAAGATATAATTGTGATAATTTATGATAAAGATGAATGCGTTGACAATGTTATAGTTAATATAATAGATTGGGCTATGGATGGATAGGAAAAGAAAAGTTTTTAAGTATTAAAGTTTGTATTTTAAATGAATATGATAAAATGATTGTATGGTTGATAATTAACATAATAGAAATGTTTGAATTAGAAGTATAAGATTGAAGAAGATAGACTATTCTTGATGATTTATTAAAAATATAATATCAAGTTAAATGATTTCATTGTAAATCAAACGATCGATTAGTTATTCATTTAATGAAGACGTTGAAAGTTAAATATTGTAAATAAGGCAGCATTAACTTGACCTTTGACTCGAAATTATCTTCCTCTGAAATTTTTATCTATTAATCTTTGATTTCTAAATAAAATAGTATCATTTGTTATGAAATTCTTTTCACTTTTATTTTCTCACTTCTTCCATTTCTTTCTCTTTCTTTCTTTCTTTTTTTTTTTAATTAAATTTTTGCAGAAATAATTATTATATAAACCAATTAAGCAAGTGAGTTATGTTTTTCTTTTTATCTCAAAATTTTAACTTTTGTCTTAAAAACAATAAAAAGCAATGAAAAATGAAAAAAAAATAATGATTAATAATAATAGTGAATAATAATAATAATAAATAGATAATCTTACCAAAAAAAAAAATGGAAGAATTTTTGTCACATTACAATAGGCATTGAAGTAGTTGTGACATAATGAGACTGTAAATTTTTCAAGCTGCCAATTATTTTAAATTAAAATTTGAAATGATTATCATTACTCGATTAATTGCAATTGTTATTTTTTTCATCATTACATTTATCCAAATGAAATAAATTACAATTCAATTGTGATCATTTATTAATATACAATATTTTAAATTTAATTGAATTTACTATTTTTAACTCTTTTAAAAAATGTTGTAGAAAAAAAAAAAAAAAAAAAGAAAGACTCAAAATAACAGAAGATTCTTTTAAAAATATTAAGCAAAAAAAGGGACAAAGAGAAAAGGAGAAAGAAAGGGAGAGGAAGAGAAAGAAAAAGTAAACCTCTTCATTGTTGTGAACAAATAAGCCACCAAATAAACGCGCAACTGGAAATGCAAATTGTGGAGTAAATTCGCGCACTTCATCAATTTGTTCACTAATAATTGTTGTTTGATAACTGGAATGTGAAGGAATTCCATTTTGCGTATTTACTGCATAATCTGATTCTGATAATTGTGGTTGTGTAATTAAATTTTGCTGAAATTATAAAAAGAAATAAACAAAAAAAGAAAAGAAAAATTTTCATTCATTTATATTTACAACGTAAAAATCAATGAATCAAAGGTATCGGGTATTTTTTTTAAAGTATATTATACTAGCAAGTGCTTTTTTTTAAACTATATTATACTAGCAAGTGCTTTTTTTTTTTTTTTTTAAAGTATATTATACTAGCAAGTGCTTTTTTTTTAAACTATATTATACTAGTAAGTGTTTTTTTTTTCTTAAATCTATTTTATTTTGCATTCTATGTGCATAAAATGTTTTAATTTTCAAAATAGATTGGTAAAAAAAAGTGATTTTAATAAGAAAAAAAAAAATAAGGAACAGAGTATATATTGCTATTTTGAATTATACCATCTGTTTTTTTTTTAAAAAAAAGAAAACTATGATGATGATTAATATGTATTTTATTTGAATGTAAACAATCAAATCAATTAACGGGAAAGAGAAAAAGGGAAAGAAGATATGAAAAAAAAAAAAAAGGAAGATATGTTTGTTAGAAATGATTAAGTATAAAGTAAATTATGTTATAAAAACCTGAAATGCAGATGCAGCTGGTAATGTTGGTGTAAAAGTAGTAGTAGTGGTAGAAGTTGAAACACTTGGCAATGAACCTAAAATTTTATTGTTAATTAAGGTGCTATCGAGATTTGATTCAATTTTTCCACAGTTTAAATCTTACTGAAAAGTAAGCGATATTGAAAGAAGTTCCAATATGAAATGGTGTGAATGAAATTTACATGGTTTATCCAAAACCCTCCTTACAACTTCTTGCAACCACCTGTTACTGTAACTGCTTATCCAGCAGGTGGTTACAGATTGCTACGGTAACAAGTGGTTGTAGCAAGAGGTGGTTACAGTAGTATGCTTTTGCAAGCGATTACGGTAGAAAGTAGTTGCAGCAACAGGTGGTTACAGTAGTGTGCTTTTGCAAGTGATTACAGTAGCAAGCAATCTGAGGTTTGAGGTGTGAGATTGTCCATGATGTGTCGGTTCTAGGTACTGCTTTAGATAATGGATGAATTTGCTAATAATGCTAATAATTCTAGTTGCAATTAGGGATGAAAGATAGAATTTGGTTAATGTGGCATAAATCCAGATGATATACCAGGTTTTGGTGCTTGTTGAAATGGTAGATATTGTCCAGATGGTGGTGCACCAGTTATACCAGATGGTAGTTGAGGTGGAAGAGAGAAGCGAACTGGTGTCACATTAAAATTTGGATCATATCCAGGCAATGGTAAAGTAGCCTGAGGAGGTAAATCACGAATATTTGGAGTTGGAAATTGTCCTTGCGAAGCTGAAGAAAAATTAGAAAATGCAAATTTGAATTTGTAACATTAACCTTTTGCATAAGCAATTTGCGCATGATATTATCGTCATTATCGTTTTTTTTTTTTCGTTTCTTTTTGGCTGTTTATTTTTTAACTGAATTAGCTTACGATATTATTTGCTAGTAAAATTTATATTTAACATTTTAAATTTGTCAACAAAAATCATATGCAATCACTCAATGATTGAATTTATTATGATAACTCACGTGTTGTTTGTATAAGAGTTGGCTTTTGAGAAATGTGTGATTTTTGAACTCGTTGAAAACGTGAAGATGAATCAACTCGTGATGGAATTTGCATTCGTTGTCGTCTGGGATTGTGATAAGTTGGACGATTTCGGAATAAATGATATTTTGCGCTCTTTTCTAAAGCAAACATTTCGTTCGATACTATTCTCATATTGCAACAGAGAGAGAGAGAGATCTATTTTTCTGCTCATTAACTGTTCCATTCTTTTTCTTTTCGTTTTTTAATTCATACGAATCAATGAATAAAATTTCAGATAATGATCTTCCCATACTGGAAGTCATTTTAGATGGTTGTCTTGGTATTTTAGGTTCATCTTGTTGTTTATCTTCATGGCTTGATTGTTGTTTAGATATTTGTGACATTTCATTCACACCTAAATAAGCTATAGCAAAAAAAAAAAAAAAAAACTAAAAACAAAAAATAAATGAAGCAATTACAGTAATGTAATGCAGTAGCTACAGTAACACCAATGTAGTAGCTATAGTAATAAATAATCTTATTACTGTATTATGTCATAATGTTTGTTAATTAATTATACTTTTCATAAGCCAATACTACATTATTTGTTTTATCATAGTACAACAATATTATTAATCAATGTAAAAGATTCATTATCAAAATTTATTGTTAACATACAATTGTACTAATACTTTAATTAAATAGCAAAATCTTTTAAAATATTTCATTCATAAAAAATTAAGAAATGAAAAAAAAAGGCATTTATAGTGCAACAATAAAAATGTGAAAAGAAAAAAAAAACTACAAAATGATCATTTTTAATATATTTGAATTAATATATTTGAAAACAATTTATGAATATATTTTCAAAAAATATGGAAATAAATAACTGATAAATAATAGAAAGTAATATAAATTTATTAAATTGTTAAAATCAATCAGAATTCATTATATACACGAATACTAATATCATTAAAATAAGAGCAATCGGTCAATTTATAATGTCAGTTTCATTTCATATCATTTACAAACCTCAAATCTTTTTAAGGATCAAGCAAGAACAATTACTTCAACCGCACTAAAACCAATAATTAATAAAAAATTTCACGAAATGATAATTTATATACAATTTTTATCATAGATTTTTCAATATGCAAATGTGTAGTCATAAAATTCAACAAAATTATTTTTATCATTGCTTCATTTTTCTTTTCATTTATAGTACGTATGAAGAAGCATTTCTAAATTCAATTTTTTTTTTTTTTAATTTTAGAACTGTCGAAAATCTGATTTGAAATTTTTTTCATGTTTAAAGAACGAAAAGAACAAAGGAAAATAACTAGAGATATGTTTAAAAGGTTAGAAAGTGTACAAAAAAAAGAAAATTATGTTGAAATGCTTAAGTTTAAAAAATAAGTTTAAAAAAAAATTATGTTGAGATGCCTACAACGTTTTTTAATGTTTAAAAAATGAAAAAATAAATAAATAAATTTGGTATTTGTAAATGTTAAATGCTTGATAATAGTTTATTCGAAAATTAACTCTGTTCCTTTCGAAGGATAATCCATACAAAAGTTGATTCATCTTCATAAAAAATGCTTCAAATTTCAAGTAAACAGCAGAATTGTCCCAAGTTCTTATCAACCCATTAATAAACCCAAATTGATAATTAAAATTTTCAGGAAATCGAGAATAACTTATACATCTGAATAAATTATAAAGTATGACTTATACGTGTTCGGTTCAGGTGAGGACAAGAGGAAACATAGTGATCATTAATAGCTAATAACAGCTGTCGATTGGTATCATATTTTGACATTTCATCAAAATTGAGAATCTAAAGTAAAATTCAAATGAATGTAAAAAAAAGAGCAAAGAATCAGGGGAATTTATTACTGTGAAAAAATTTTAAACATTCAAAGGTAGATAAGCGAAAGATCCAATTCTTCAACATAAGACATTCATCTCTTTATTGTGGAATGAAAAAAGCCAGCAAGTAAAAATATGTAAAACAGTAAACAAGAATGATTGAATGGAACATCAAAAATAGAACATGCTCAGTATAAGTGAGATAAAATAATCCATACATATGGAGGCAGATTAACCACATGAATAAACGATAAAATATTCCAAACAAAAAAAAAAAAAAAAAATACCCTGAATACCACAATTTAAGCCTGACGAACATTCTAAATAACATCCAAATAAGAAAAGAAAAAGTTGCTATAGTTATATCTTAAACCTAACTAGTCATCAACTAAATCATAATAAGCTAAAACTAAATCAATAAACAAATCAAGCACAGTTTACTGCAAATGTCAACATAGTTCAAAGTGAAGATTTCAACTGATAGCACTTTCTTATCGCACAACATCATTTTTAATGACAAGTGATATTTTACTAAGCTTCATAGTAAAAATGAAATAAAAATTGCGCATTAGGACAGAAGTCAGCTTTAATGTTGATGGAAGAAAAGGACTGCAAAGATCGTTCTAATTCCGGAAGAAAATGAACACCCTGTCGATGTGAAATAGACCATTTTGGTCGTTCACCTACTTCAGGTTTGTTTAAAAGTCCACTAGTTAATCGATAATCGCCATGAATCCAATCCATCCAAAAAACGATAGCATTTGTACCAATCCTGAAAAATGTCAAGTACTTTGGTAGCTAAAAAAGCTTCTTTTTGAATTATTCTTTCAAACTTTAAAATAATATATTCATAGAATGAAAAATTACATCACATAATATAAAAACCATTGAACACTTACATGGAAGGAGTAATTTTGGCCTTAAAAGATGCATGAGATGGTGGTTCATTAAAATCAAATTCAGCAAGTACAACTGGTTCTCCAGTTACGATAGAAGAATATTCCCATAGCGGATGAGGATCAACCATTGCATCTACAGCACTTCGAGCCTTTACAATCACATCATCAAAAGATGTTAAATCGAAGCCTTCCACAATACCAAACAGAGCAGCTATTTTCCATAATTCATCGAATAAGACTGGCATTGCATACATTAGGCCTTTCTGCAAAATATTCCTTCCTGAGAAAACCGCTTTCTTAAATCTTTTCAAAAAATAACAGATAAAAAAATGAATAAATAAAATAAAGTAAAAACAAACTCCTGGCGACAAAGGAAAATATCTAGATTTGAAGAATGTCGATAATTTATGCGCCGTAAACCAAAAGCACAGATTATCCCATGGAAGAAAAGATGACAAGTAAAACGGTTCTGATACAACGACATCAATCTAAGAATAAAAATTTGTTTTCACATAAAAATTAATTCGCAAAAAGAAAAACGTAAATGAGAACTTCGAAATTTCTAAATACAATATGTTGTAAAATTTACTTCCTGGCAGGGAACAGAAGCACAATCATCATATATCTGAATATTCCGTATTTGATTTTCTTCGATGTAAGCCAAAATAACTGCCAGAAAATGGTCATTTGGTTCAATAATTTTGACTTTTTTCGCATATTTCGAAAGCAATAAACTCATAAGTGAACCATCATCAAGTACAGCCACCGATTTTTCTGTAAAGTTCTGCAAAGAGATTAAATTATTCGAAAAAACATTTCCGCTACCAAACCTAAATAATTACATCAGTAATATGATTATAATACATGTAGATGGAAAATTGATTAAATTAAAAATAAAGCAAATAAAAAGAAAAGAAGTTTCAAATAATGTCTGAAGTGAAGATTAACTTAATGTGTTTTCGCTTGAAACCAATTTTCTTACTGATGCATATTTTGCTTAGTGTCCTTTTTCACTGTGTTTATTATGCATCGAAATATAAATACTGTTAACGAATTATGGATTACTTAGAAATGCAAGTAAAAAAGTAGATAGATATTGCAAAAAAATTATTTCAACAAATTTTAGGATAATAAATCACGCAGCAATATAATTAAGAAACTCTGAAAATCATGCAATTTATAATTAACAGAATCAAAAGAAGAACTGAAATCTCAGAAAAAATAATTTTACCTCTCTTAAGAAATGATCAAAAGCAACATCATCATCAAGTTCGTTCAAGCGATGAATTGCATTTCGTGAGCAAGCAACATGCGTTTTACATCGACAAAAATTGGGTTCAAAAGCATCAAATCTAAATGTGAAAATCACATCATCCATTAAAATTCAAAATGGTTTCCTAGTTGAACAAAAATTTTCAACTAGAAAATATAAAAATAAATGAAAATTTAATAATACATACTCATTCTGAGGTACAGCAAACCAGAAAGAGAATTCGTCATGACAGCAGTGAAGCGCAACTGTTTCATCTTTTCGAACCTGAATACTTTGAGCAAGATAATAAACACCTTGCACCCAATGATCACGCCAATTCTCTTTTCTATTCCACCATTTTGGCGCTGTGCTTAATATATTTTGTCCTAAAAAATAATTTCTTTCTCAAATGGATGATAGAAAATATTGTAATACAGTTGCTTTTTGTTTTGTTATTTAAATAGACATATAAAGTGAATTCTAAATTAAAAGAACATAATCAGTACTTCTACAAAATTTACATACCTGTACCATCCATATCAAGTTCCCACCACATCAGAAGTGCTTCAAATGTACCATCTAATTCAACATCAAATGTTCTGACAACTGTTTCATTATAATTAATAGAACAACCGTCTTCAAAATCGAAACTGCAATTCAGTAGTGGCATTCTTATAATATGGAATATTAGATTTAAATAAGCAATATTTCGATTTTCAACATATTACTTTTAACTAATATGCCTTATTTGTTTAGAAAACATAAAAACTTTCACATATTTTAAAATATATCATAATAGCAAAAAGAGGGGGATATTTAAGTTTATTTAAAGTTATAGAAAAATGAACAGTGTTCTTAAAAGAAAAAACTGTAGTGAAAAAGACTGAAAATTATGAAATAACCTGAAAGCTACAAACGGTTCGGCAAGCACGCGAATCTCGTCCTCCGGTATTTCCGAAACGTGAATGTCATGTATAGCTCCTGCACCAGGACAACGTTTACTAATTTCTGGAACTTTGAAGTGTCGTGATGGAAGCTGATGAAAACGCATAAGAAAATCACTTTGTACAGGAACTAACAAAACTCGCGCTGATGATGGAACTACTCTACAACCAGGCTGAAAATCTCATCTCTAAAAGAAAAATTAGATTCATGATTAAAAATTAAGATATAATTTCCTAATTTTCATGAAAGCTCAAGATCAGATAAGTTGAAAGAATTGAACTGATCATAATTGCTAATTTTGAAAAATTTCTAAACAAACCTTAACTAATTTTTGATGTGCTTCCTTGAATGTTCGTAACGCACCCTCACCAATCAATTCAGTATCAAATACTTCAGCAACAATTACATTTCCTTTTTCAATAGTACTAACTGTAAAAAGAAAAGCGTTCCAACATTAATAAATTAAGCTTAAATTTCAAAAAAAAAAAAAAAAAAAAAAGAAAACACTGCCAACTTTGTTCATCCGTCAACTCAGTTGATCGTGATGCAATTAAGCGTATTTGTCCTTCATAGCCATTTTTTCGGATAATCTCTTCCGCACATTTCGCCATTGGTTCTAGCATTTCCAGAGCTGTCACACTATCAGCACCAGCTCTCATAGCCATCATTGATAGTAAACCAGTACCAGCACCAATGTCTAGGACATGCACTTGTTCGTTCTCTTTTTTAAACTAAAAAAAAATTCAATTTCAAAATAAATGATAACACAGAAATATGTTGCAGCATTTGTAACATTCTGAAATTTCAAAATTATTATTATCATTTATTAAGAAGCACAAATATTGCAAATGTTAGCTACTCTTTAGGTAGCTATACAGTGGAAAATAAAACGTGACAACATATGAATCAGTATTAAAAGAAAAATTTTTCATGATCAAATTTTTTTCCTAACAGTTTAGAGTATGAAAGAATCAAAATAGAAATGAAATACAAATATGATAACAATATAAGCATATGCTTTAATAACTCAAACATACCTGACCAATTACTGATTTTAGTCCAAGTTCATACTTTTGATTCCTTTCGAAATCATGAATCATATCACCAAATCCACTACGAGCAATTTCTTGGGCAATATCATAATCTTCATCGGCAACCTTCCATGTCTGTCGTCCGGTAACTGGATCAATTGTTTCCAAAAACATCTGAATTTATGGGAAAAAAAAAGTTAGGAATATGATTGTAAATATGAAAACAAAGAGAACGGAAATTTTGATTTTGCTGTCATTCTTCCAAGCAGAAAACAATTATAGATTAAGAAGATAAGAAGTCTTCCACTAATATGATGAACGATTTAAAATGAAATTAGAAGCTAAGCTATGAATCAGACTAATCTATCAAAGTTTCTCCTTGTTCCTTCATCCATTTACATGATTTTTGAAAAATTTTTTTTGAAAAAAAAGACATTTCATAAAATCGCAAAATCTCTTTCTTTTAATTTCAATTATAGCTACATACACTTACTTATTTATGTAAAAACGATCCAGAATACAGATATAACCTTAACCTTATCCTTGTGTTTCCTTCGTAAATAGCCTTGAATTCCAACTATACCAACTTTGAGACGTAAAGACAAAATCCGTGAAAATAACTGACCTATAGCCAATATTCTTTGGGTTTTATTTGATAATTCTGAAAAACCATCTCGAATGAATAAATACAGCCTAACAGATAGTTTAATATAACTTTTGTGTGAACGTATAAAATATATGAAATTAATAAATGCATTACTCGAAGTAGATCAATGCACACGCAACTAAACGACATGGTTGCACTAATATGATTATATCGAAGGATTTTGCGTAAATATGAAAAGATATATGTTTATTACTAGGTGAATAAGCTTTTTTTTTTTTTTTTTTAGAAAATCGAAGTTTGGAAAATTCACCGAGAATGTAAATCGGTTCCCTAAATTAGAAAATAAGTCAAAAAAGATCTTTTATTATGCAAAATATTACACTTACGAAATAAGCCATAAAATTTTAAGCTTCCCAAAAATAAATAAATGATGCACAAAGAGAAAAAATATTAAAATCAATGTCAGACTTCATAGTCAGAGATTTGCAAAATTCTGAATCTAAGTTTTTTTTTTTTTTCTTCCTTCGAGAACAAACACTCTTGAGACGAGGGCATTAAAGAGGAAGGTTTATAAATAGCATATATACACATCGAAGATAATAAGTCAAACTTGATAGTATACAATAAAGGTTAGATGGATAACGCGACAGGAATCAAATAAAACAATACTGCATAAAAAGAAAACTTGATTGAAACGAGTAACTTTTACAGAAATATTCGTAGAGTTATTTCAGCAATGATTTTATTTTATTTTTTAATTTTTTTATGGCTTTATTTTTAATTCCCCTACTAAAACAAAACATGAAGACGATTCTTAAGTTAGCAATAAAAAAATAGAGGAAAATATCAAGTGAACTTAATATCAGCAAGTGCAGAGGCAACTTTTTCAACATGCTTATCTTTCGATTGTCCATCTCGTATAATTCCATCACTCGATGTGTTTCCTTCATTTTGTACGATTGTTTTCGACGCTGCACTATCCCTTAGAGAACATCTCCGTTTCTCACCTTGCTTTCCTTTGTAAACCTTTTCGCAAAACATTTTATGATTACACCAGTCAATTTTTTGGCAGTCAGGATGACAATAATATGTATTCTGAAATGCATTATTTTAATTTAAATAGATTTTGAGACTATAAAGTGCCACAGAAAAACTACTATACAAAAATCAAAAGTTTAATATTAAGTTTAAGTGCCACTGAATAATAGTTAAAAAATGACAAAAGATGAATTTAAACAAGAAATCACCTTACAGCACCGCTTAGTGGAAGTAACAGCACCACATGTTGCACAAAAATGAGACGTTTCTACCATTCGTTGCCCCGAAAACACCGACATTATCAGATAAAATGCATCCGGTAAACTACCCTAAATAATCATTCTAATATATTTCAATGAGTTTCATAAAATGTAAATTTAAATTAAGAAACTGCATTGACATTAACTTACAAATTCAACAGCCGCAAGATTTTTGATGAGTGCCTGAAAAAGTAAGCAGTGATGATATGGAAATGCCTGAACAGCATTCCTTAGATAGCGTTCTAAATTTGGTCGTATCCGATAAGTTTGTTCCATTTTCAACAATTGCTTTATATAATTTCTAATTATTGTTGATGCTTTATGCCCTTCCTTTTCCAAAGCTGTCTCCACAAATTTGCACGTATCTCGTACAGTATATAAAATTAACCACAGTTTTAATGACATGACCTAAAATTGAAAAAAAAAAAAAGAAAAGAAAAGAAATACAAACATTAAAGAGTACAACAGATAAACGTTGCAACACTAATCGTAAACTGATGGAATCCTAGTACTATGAACTGGTAATCTGTGTATTGTATGTTAATTTTCGTGTATATCACATTCACATGTAGCACACGCTTCTATCATTTTAGAATGTGAATAAATCTTTTCTTTTATTCAGAAGAAATATTTAAAAAAGCCGATGATAAAACTGGAATTAAACATACCTCATTTGATTCTTTGCATCGTAATTGCCTTTCAAAAATCCTATCCAAAACATAACAAAATTTCTGACGATGTTGCCATATTAGTTGATAATGATCACGCAGGAAAAGCATAACCTGGATGAGTAACATTGCAGCTAATCATTAAATTGCATTTAAATTGTAGTAGAATATAAAATTTGCTTTCCAGAAGTTATCAGAAATTACCTCCTATATTTATAGAAAAATCAGTGACAAAAAAAAATAGTACAAAGAAACGAATGAATTATTATCCCATTTTTCTAACAAAATAGTTCGTCAGAAATAATTCACCAAAAAATAAAGTGTTAAATGTTTTCCGATATAACTTACCCAAACAGGATGTATTATATGGGTTTTAATCAAATCGTGTAATGCTCGGGAAAATTCTTTCGAATAAATTTCATCACTATCATTCCCTTTAGGATGTAATAACTTCTCGATTTCATCCAGTGCTACATAATTGTTGATAATACTAACGCATTCATGTTGTCCTGCAAAATATCAACCAAAGAAGTTTGGCGCTTTTTTTGTGATATTACTTCCACAAAGGAGAATGAGTTTGTGACACATCTTTGCCGCGCAAAAACTAAAGACAAGGCAATAAAAAAGAAAGAGCTAAAATAAAGAATAAAATATATCGAGCAAAAATAAATTAAAAAAAGAAATTTCTTGTTTGAAAAATGATCGTCAAAATTTAAAAATTGTTGAAAATGATCATTAGAATTCAAAAATTTTGGAAAATATAAAAATGGAAAATTTGAAAATGTTTGAAATTTCATTCGAATCCATGCACAAAAATAGTACTTCTGTTTGCTTTATAAGCTAAAGTTTTTGACCATTTAAAAATTTTTGAGTTTTTTTTTTTTTTTTAAATTCTTTAGTTTTTTCTTATCTTTACTGTGAATTAAACCATAAAAGTATGAAATACAAAACAAACAAACAAACCAACAAAAGCTGCCATTTCTGCGGCTGTTTTGCCAATTGCATTCGTTGAATAAACATGTGCACCGTAGTCTAGTAATAATTGACATATGCCTGCAAGATATGCATGCACTCATCATACCTTGAAAATTTAAATATTTTTTTTTTCAATTAAACAAATAAATGGAGTACTCGGATGAACAAATAACAAGCGAATTTTTATCTAATTAGCAAACAATAATTACAAATGCTACATATTTTTCCAAAACCATGTTAAAACAATTCAAGCTAAAACTAAAAATTGTTTGAATTAATATAACAGAAAATAAATATAGAGAAAAACCTTGATGCCCAGCAATTGCTGCAAACATGAGAGATTTATAACCAGAGTCATGAGTACTGTTATTCGGATCAACACCATTTGCTAACAGAAATCGAACTACGTCTTCAAGACCTGACCAACTCGCTTGATCAAGTAGTGACATGCCAGTCTGGAACTTTATGAAGGTTATCGCTTCAACAGATAAAACTGAAATTAGAATGCAGTATTTTCATCTAAATCAGTAACGAAAATTTATATCATTCTAATTGCATAAAATTTTGATATGGCAAATGCAATTGTAAAAATATACTATTCTAGGATTCGTAATTATAACAATCCTAGTTTTTTTTTTTTTTTAAATATAACCTTTCATTTATTTTATTAGCTACTCTCAATGCTACGTAGACAGTTATAACCATTAACAGTTAACAGTTAAATTCAGAACTGATCAGACCTTATCGGTATAATCAAGTGGAATACGCATACTCTTCAGAATTTGTAACACTTCTTCCGCATTTTCTAAATTAAACGAAGAACATCAAATTGCAACTATTCATTTAAATTTCGATTTTATAGATCTAATTTATTGATTTTAATTCGGGATATTTATATGACACTGCGACGAAACTGAAAGCCGGTCTTCCCAAATCATTAGTGACATCAGTCATTTATACTAAGTTATCTGCAGTAAAGGTTTTAATAGACTATTATCCTGAAACTTTAAAAACATAGCCGATAAGACTCGCAAACAAGACAATGAAATAAATAATAATAGAACTGAATAGCTTGAAACACTACTTTCTTTGATCATATCAAATATTCTTTCAGCAGCTTCCTCCTGATCATATTTCGGGACTGTTGTTGATGCTTCCAAATTATTCATTCTAAAATACAGCAATAAAAAAACTCAAAATTTTCAAACTTATCGGCAGAACTATAATTTTACAGGACAGTGAAATTAAAAATATTAAGCTCAAAAAATCCTCAGTTTTTCCGGTCTCCCATATATAAACCATAGAAAAAAATGTTGCTATAGAAAAAAGAAACAAATTATGATTGATTTTTAATCCCGATTTCTCTATCTAAAGCTATTAGCATTAATAAATTTTCGGTAATATACCAGTCAAATTCATGACTTTTCCTATCCCCAGTAACTTGAATACACAATTAAAATTTAAAACAATACCCGAAAATTTGAAAATAAAGATCAGTATTTACTACTGCAAAATACTATGCAACATTTTGTAGCAGAAGCAATCAAAACTTCTGAACTAAACAAAACTATGAAAACATTCATCAGTGAATGCTTAGTTTATCATACCACATAAGAAGCATGATATTTATAAAATGAAGAAGAGCTGTTTGTTGCTAAGGTAACGACGAACAATCAATTTCAATTAAATATTAGATTTTTCTCGTAACATTAGCAAGACTGTTGCATGCAAAAAATCTTACATGCTAGTCAATATATCTCAGAACTATTATAAAATTTGATATTTTATAATAAAATCCTGATCTATGCAAAGTTTTCAAAAAACATGATTTTTTGAAGCATGAAATAGTCTCGCACACTGTGTAATCACAAACTTAACTTTCCTTATTATCATAACTATGTAACATAAAATTTCCAGTTTTTGAGTAACATTTTTGAAAAAAATTATATTATCATACCTGCTTCCCTTTGGTAAAAACGGTTAAAAAAAAAGGTTAAATTTTATCCAAAAAAAAAAAAGGAATGAAGCAAATTTAAATTTCCAAAAGAGTATTTACCAATTAATTCGTTCATTTACAGAATTGACCAATAAATGCTAAAAACCACATCGACCAAAACTTGGAAATATTTATAATCCTGTTTGTTCCTGCCGCATAACTGATCAGTCAAGTATAATATTTTCGGTAATATATTTGTCCTTCATTTTTTTTCCCAAATCCATTTTTTTAAACCATTAATCTACAAATATTATAGGATTTAATATTAAAAAAAGTACTGTGATGTAATAGATGTAATAATTATAACAATAATAATAATAATTCTATCATTACAGCATAATAAAATAAGACATAATAAAAAGGAATGATAAATGTTATCATTTACAGAGAAAAGACAAAAAATAAAACTGATAAAATGATATTTACTTTTTTATTTATATTTGGAATGTTTGGACATTATTTAATTAGGCTGCTGCATTGTTAAAAAAGAAAAGAAAAAAAAAGAAAACTCCACCAAATAATTATTTATTTGTTTATCTACCTACCTCCTTACACTTTACACAAAATTAGGCATAATTTTTTAATTACCAATGTATATGCAAATAATAAGCAAATTTATAAACAGATTTAATCGTCCTAATCTCCAATCAGAAAAGGTTCAGGTTAAAAAAATGAACGATTATTATAAGGTTCAAGTAAAGAAAAAGAACGAGCACTACTCTTGTCTTTTTTTGACTTAGTGAAATTTATAATGCAAGTAACCACAGTTAAACAATATCAACATTACATCTTCAAATAGTAACAAAAAAGGATTTCACTTGAAAAATCTTCATGGGCAAACAAATAATCTGACGGTAACATATTAAAATACTAATGTGACAACTTCATTTAAAAAAATTTTTCGATCTCAATAAACATTTTTATGAAAGGAATGAAAAATGCAATGATAAGAATGAAAATTTTAGTTTTTTATGGACAGAATTTCTTTTTTCATTTATCATCTTCTTAGTATTCTCATTTTTTTAGTTGCTAATAATTTCGGAAAGTTTGCATAAAAAGGAGAAATTTAGACAGGAACATCAGGAAAAAATCCATCATATATTTGTCACAAAATTTTAGTTTAGTTATAAATTTATCAAAATTTTCAAATTTAATTTTTGGTTTTACTTTAGTAAGACAACAATTACATAAGAATGCTGATTCAACAAAATCATTCAAATGTAGCAATGTAAACCGGTTTTATGTGCATAAGTTGTCATGTATAATATTAATTAAAATTTAGCTGTTTAATAAATGAAATATAATTTTAACGAAGCGCAATAAATTATCTTGAGATTTATATATGAATATGTGATAGCAGTTCGAGTTCTATAAAGTTTGCAAACAAATACTTCCAATCTTATCAATTAAATCATTTCATTTCATCGCTTTCTTTGTCATTCATTCCAGCAAACTTTTCTATATGATAAGATTTGCAATTACTGCAACACGCATTAACATTAACAAATCTAACCTAATGTAACATCACACTGATAAAGACTGAGAGGTATCAATGTGACAAACATGAGCTGTCATAGTGATAAACTTGAAACCACATAAATCCATAAGTCATTCATTGTCTCCGTACAGCTCTTCCACTATTGTGGTGTGTGTCGTTTTCACTGTTAGATGATTTTTATCTGGCTAAATAAATTTCTTAATTTAGAAATTCCTGATATAAAGTAGTCGTTTCCGCGTTGTACTTTTATAGGGAATTAAGCTGATCAAAAAACTTAAATAGAATCCCAAAATTTTATGTCTGGGAAAATCCATCACCATTGTACTGTTGGAACAAGTTAATTATGCTTGTAACTTTTCTAGGATGTTTAACAAATTCCTTACAAATGATTTCCGGAAGTACTACCGATCATCAGTTGTTCATACGAGCTAGTAAAATACAATAAACAAAGAGTATTAGTTTTTATAAAATTAAATCTTGTGAAAGAATTGAGGAATAATTTCATATCATATCATCATTAGCTTTCTTTCTTCCTCTCCTTTCTCTCTTTTGATTATCTCTCGTAATCATTTTCTTACATTTATCAGTAAAATATAATCGATCTGCAATCCTTTTTTATAAGATCGAAGCATTGGATAATCAGGAGATCGAGTGACAAGAAATGGATTGCAGATCGATTATATATTCTCCTACCATCTTATAAAAAACAGCAGATGATATAGGATGTGACTGAAGGTAGGGGCAGGTAGCAGGTAGCAGAAAACGGCGGCAAAAACCAGGAAAAAAGTCGAGAAAAATCCAGAAAAATTACTGAAAAAATCATTTTTCTGGATTTTTTTTTTTGGTTTTTCTCCTTTCCGGAACATTTATTTTGAATCCCACCGATCAGTGGAAGAGATCTTACTTTCCTTTCTCTCTGTCCAGTACTGCTGTTTAGAACCAAATAATTCATCAGTGCTTGTTAGAAGTCTTTGAATGATCAAAAGAGAAATAGAAATAAGCGTACTGATCGGTGCCAAATAATATCGGAGCTCTAAACCTGGAAAATACCATCAGAATGATTCCCCTCTCCCACCAGATATTGATGGAGTAAACAATGAAATAAAAATAAACCTCAAATTTGTTTTTACTTTTGCTATTTATTTTCATAGACCCTAAATTCGGTGCTGGTAGTCCGATAATCGTTCTTGTTAATACGGATCTGCCGCATTCAAACACTCGTTTCATTCATTATCGTCTTATTATTAAGAGATCAGTGCAAATTTGATATTGATATTATGGGACTATGCATGAATCAAGTAATCACATAGTTTGCTAAATGATTAGTATAGATGACAACTTCTTTTGACAATAGTAACCGTAATAGCAGCCTGAGATGGAAATTATAGTGCCAAAAATAGTTGCTTTTATTTAGTGATAAAATTTTACGTGTTAAAGAATTGAATTGTGTATTTAATATCGATGTAATCGAAGGATTTCTATCTATCAGTCTGTTCCAATAATTGATAAGGAAGAAATGAAAGTATTAGATCTGATTCGAAATTCAAAAAACTTCATGTAAAAGAGTGAATTGTCATTTATTGTTGCTTCTTTCAAATTCTTCATAACTCATTCTTTTACAACTAAAAGTACTTTCATTTCAAAGCTTTGCTCAAAAAAAAAACGGAAATAAAATTTGGATATTTTTCGCAAATTGAAGTATGCAAAACCGAACGAAATAACTGGCTATTATCAAAACAACATTTCACGAAACGCTTACAATTGCATCCAGAAGAAAAAAAAAGGAAACAAATAGTTTCGCATCTAACAAAGCAATGAAGAGAATGATTATAAATAAAACGACAATCATCACGAATGACTTCCCTTATAAATCTTTCACAAATTGAGAAGAAAAAGTTGAAACTGTTATCAAGAAGTAACATTCATTTGTACTTAGGTAGAAACTGAGACAGATATTCTTCAGTCATCAGGTTGCAATTCACTGTAAGCACCCGAATTAACAGCATCAACTAATTCGGTCTTACCAGCTTTCAGCCGTTCACGAATTAACTGGGCCATCGCACGTTCTGTTCGTCTTTCTAATTTTTCCAATTTTTCCGCAATATCACGTTTCAGATCCCAGTCAATCTATTAATGAAAAACTGTTAATTAGATTACAAAATTTGCACGTTGTGCATTATGTAACTTAGATACAATTTCATCTCTTAACATAAATCTTTGCATGCAAAAACAAAAAAGTATGTTCTGTTTGAGAAAAAAAAAGAAATAGATGTACCTTTCGTGGTGCCAACGTCGTAATATCAATTTGTTCCACAGCTCTAGTATCTTGGGTATCTGCTAACTGATCAGCAATCTCCTTCTCGACAGCAAATAAATCCACATCATCACGTTTATCACCCAAATTACTTTGTGGCTCATAACTTCGAAATGTAAGCTTTAACGATTTATCTGATAGTCCAGACTCTGATCCATCACCTGAAATCTCGCACAGAAAATGATCACAATATAACTGATCGTCTTTTACTAGTTAGAGAACTTGAATTCCCTTATAATCATGTTAAAGAATAAAGCTACAGAAGAGAAATAAATTCTGTAGTCTTATTCTTTAACAGTTAATCATTGATTCAATCTAATGTATATTTACTTAGTGCATATAAAATGAGGAAACATAAAAATCTAAGGTAAAAAATCTCCATTGTTATCAATAATCCTCACGTGAATAATTTGTACATCAATAAACCTCACGCAAATAGCCTCCACTGTTTTCAATGTTCTAGAATAAGCCGAAAACTTGCCTCCTTGTTGCATTCGTTCACGCATTTCTCTAAGCCGTCGTTTCCTTTCATTTGCTTCTTTTTCTAAGCTAATACTCGTCTCAACTATATCTATGTCATCTATTTCTTGCTCTTCAACAATTCCATCTACCATTTTTGACTCCTTATCAACTCCAAGTACTATTCTGAAATGATCTGAAATTATTCATTTTTCAGTTTTTGAACTTGTCTAAATTACTATAAAACGAACATCTTTACTTTAAAAATACAACAATAAATATTTTTTAATGAAAATAAATAGATATGGAGAAATAAAGTCCCTATCAATCCTTTCCTTTGATATCAACCATCTCTTTATGCGTTATTACTATGCAAAATCCAGAAATAAAAAAGTTAACACAAACTTTGAATTTTGACAACAATAAGTCTCTCGAAAATTTATCAAATCACAAAAAGAAAAGTCACAACATAGAACTTCAAACATGATAAAGAGCAATTTGATTAACAAATATAACATTTTTCAATCAACAGCCTTTCGATCTTATAATTTAGATTATCTACAGGCCAAAGGCAAGCAGGATAGAAATGACTTTTACAAAATGTCTTTTCTCATTCGTCCATAAAATATGGCAAAAGAAATGAAAACTATTAAATGCTATATTCTATGCAGCGTCCTCTCAAATATTTATAATAATCCTTCATTTTATCCCAACCGTTCTTCGGCTCCCATCTCTTTGTCATTGGTGGTCCATCACCTTCCTCGAGTCTATAAATACATCACCTGTCATTAATTTATATATTAAGAAAAAGAAAGAACCGAAAAACCATTTCTAATTCATTGAGTTGGATAACATACTTCCAATCATATCATAAGCTGTGATTCTTAACACACATTACAATTTTTTCCTACTTTACAACACCATAAAATTTAGTTGGAATACAAGAAAGTATTCAATAAAAGATTTAAATTTTATATAACATGAAATATGTTTATAAAATGTAGAAAAGAATCTCTTGTTTGGTCAAAGAATGATAAAGTCCATAAAATACTACAACCGACTATAGCTAAGGAATTATAAACCTGCTAAATAATCAGCTATTAGAAAATAGATATAATATTGTGAATATTCCTTTTTTTCAGTCCGTAAATAAATATATTACGTGAGTTTTTCATAAAATACAGTGCGGAAAAAAAAAAAAAAAACCTGACCTTACGAAAATATTGATATATCGATATCTCGTGACAGTGATACGTTCACGTGCATGGCGTCTATAACCTTTGACAATTTGACATTGAACTGGGAATGCTTCCGCAACATGCATATCTGATGGAAATTCAACGTGAAATTCTTCCGATGCCTTCTTTTTTGCTTCAGTAAGAACTTGCCTTAAAATCATGCATGCCTGAAACAAAATGAATGAAACTGAGCGAAATTTAAAAATTTTAACTTCACAAATAATATTAAAACTTCTTAAAAGAAATATTCTGATTGATGGATAAATTTGACAGTTAAACACTGAAATGGTTAAAAACTGAAACAAAAACTGCACAGTGAATTTTGAAGAAATTCAAAACCTTTTTACGCTGTAATTTTAACTGCTCCAATGCTTCATCAACATTCAAACGCCAAACTAAATGACAAGCCATAAACATTCTTTTGGGACTACAATGAACTGATTCACGACAGTAGTAAACTTGCCGCAGAAGTGGCAAACCGGTTTCAGGACTAACATAATTTGGTGGCCAAACAACCTGAAAAAGCAATCTTTTTTAAATATTACACAGATTGTTTTAAAATGTGAAATAAGCGAAAAAAAAATTTTTTTATTATAGTAGTTCCATTTTAATGTACTGATATAAGAAATTTAACAAATGCATTCAAAGAAGAAAAAGTATGAAATTTAAAAATCTTATCAGATTCCTGGAAAAGTAATATTTTCCGGAATCCCAGAATAACAAATACAAGGTGCAGAATTGTAGAACAAATGAATTCTTGTGTATAAATTCTTGCAATAATATAAGTAAGATAATTTGAAAAAAAAAAATGAAGTCCAACTTTATTATAGTAGTTCCATTTTTCAGGGGTCATTACATCTTGACCAATCATAGGATGTGCTTCACCTTCTTCACCATCATGTCTTTTCTCCAAATCCCACTCAGGTGCATAATACAATTTTGGTTGTACCTATAAGCATCTCACAGATAATTAGTTAAATTTTCGAAAAATTCCTATGATGATCCAAATTTTAAATATTTTTAAAGCTTCCATTTTAGAAAAAAAAAAAAAAAAAAAAGCTACCTCACATTTTTCTTCAAATAATTATTTTTATCAAATATTTACTAATCATATTCCAAAAGATGTTTTTACCTCTTCATCACATTGTAGTTTTGGTTGTCGAAGTTGTATTCGTCGTTTCCAAGCTTCTTCAACCGAAATATTGGTACCAGGATACAACGTTCCACGATACCTTTGAGAAATTTGCAACAACGAAATTGATGGTTGTAATGAACATTCCAAATTGGAATGCATTTTCATGCATAAAAATCCTAATCGTTTTAGCATCTTTTACTAAGAATTGAATCTCTGCCGGATCACTTAGCAAATACGTGATAAGCCTCCGGAAACCGAAATCAATCCAAATGCATGCAATATCTCAATTTATTATAAACTTTAAATTAAATACAAATTAATCAATTATTTTCTTAAGTTTCAACGCATTTGACATTACTGAAACGTAATTATATATCAATTTTGTTCATCTTCTATTTTACTTAAATTCAATCTCGAAATATCAATTTTATCATATGTTACAGTAAAAACACTTCAAAAAACAAAAAATGACGAAATCTATTAAAATTTTTAGCAAACATTATAATAAGTAATAAAAAGAAAAGAAAATTTTTGTAATAAACATGGTGATAACATTCCTTATTGAAGTTATATTGATAATAACTGAAATTATTTACAATATTAACAAATATTTTGGCTAATAAAAACCTTTCTTTTCTTCCATCTTTGAAGAAATGAAAACAATTTATGCAACAGGTAAATACCACTTTATTACCATTTAAATTAAACAGAAATGAATTACATCCGTATTTGCAAATATCTTTTAATTAATCGACAAACAACATGATATCATTACAAATACGTCATCATAATTTATCCAAGTTATATTCAAACTAAATAATTATTACAATTGAATGTATTGCTAATTTGAAAACAGTTTGCCTAATTTTCATCTTTTTTCCAATTTTCCAATCATTTTTTTTTTCTAAATTACAAACTGATAGTAAGTAATTTGCATACAGATTATTTATACTAGCAAATGTTATAATGCTAGAGGTTGCAAAACAGAAAATATCTATACCTAATCGAATTTGGATAATTTTACATTATTTGAAATCCTTAGTTGGATGTTTTGTCTATTACTGCACATAGAAGAAGATATATTACAAAATATTGGAATGTAAAACAATATTAAAGTATTCCAAACTAGTTCATTTTTCACAAATATAACATTAATGATAGTTATAACGTCTACAGATACATCAATATAAAAAATTAAGGACTGCTTTTGAAATTATACACAGTCGAAGATTGGCAATTTGAAAGATATTTTCTTGAAATTTGCACCTAGTAACGGAGAAGCTAAACATTGGTTTGACAATAGAACAAGAACTAAACGATGTAACTGTAACTATAACAATGAAATACCAAAAATCCATAATTATAATTGAAATGGTGGAATGTAAAAGTATAAAAATTTCCATCTATCACTATGAAATCAAATCTTTTTACTTTTTACTATTGAAACTATTCAATGATAACAATGGATATTAAAATAAAAACTAAAAACAACTTTACCAAATAACCGGCAGTGACAGAATATGACAGTACAAGTATAAAAATGAAACGAAATGAAATAATAATGAGTGTTTACATGACTTACTTTATATCCCATATACATATCACGTGATATTGCAACTAAAATTTATGAAAATTTAGTTTTACGTAAAAAATCACATGTGCCTAAATAGCCAAAATCAAGCCAATATAGACTTAAAAAAGCAAAGAATTTTTAAATAAAAAGTATGATAAATTAGAACAAAAGTAACAAAAGATTTTCAAATAAAAAGTATGATAAATTAGAGTAAAAGTATTTCCAATATAAGAAAAAATAAAAACATTTATCTATTCATTCAGTAACATAGATACTGATGCTTTCGATGCTTTCAATGCTTTGTACTCCAATGTTAGGCCAATTAAACCATGCCACAAACAAAATCCTATCAATAATGTGAGAACAAATCGAAGTGTTAATGCCTGGAATATAAATTTAAATGAAAGCTTATCTGTTTGCTAATGCAACAGCACATAATAACACTCGAAAAAATGAATCTCACAAATTTATAAATGAAAGTTCAGCAGTATTTGAAGTTTCCTAGAAAATATACTTCGATCTGTTTCTCTTTGTTACAATTCTCTTATAGTTCCACTTATGAATTTTGAAGCAAACTTACTTTTAATTCGAAGAGTCAGTATAATGTAAAAGACAATAATTGAAAAAAAAATATTTCTATTGAAAATTTTTGCAATAATGAATTCAAATGAAATATGCAAAAAAGAAATACATTCAACAACTAACCAATGTTTTAACAACAGGAATATGCTGCTCAGCAGAAAAAGTAGCCAAAATAAGTCCAACAAGAATAACAACTAAGGCAAGAAAAATAAACCGATCTCGACTGACACGAGTTATTCCTTCTTGCTGAGTTTCGATAACTTTTTTTAGCAAATTTGCTGGAGTTAATGATAGGCTTTTAGTAATCTGTAATAAACAAAAGTCAGCAGATATTTTATATATCAAATTTGAATGCCTGAATTTTAGAATTATTTTGAAACTAAAAATTGATTTTATCACCATCTACTTAATTTAGAGTAATAAAAAAGAAAGAAAAATTTTTTGGGCTTAAAAAAATGCAAAAAGTTAGACTATATTTCATACGTTCCAGAGTTTTGTACGGCAAATTAGAATCTTTACAAAAATATTAGTACGAATAAGATTTCTCTAAACGTTAAATCATAACGCATTTAGTTTCATATTATTTCCTCAACAAATAAAAAAAAAAAAAAACAAAAATAGTGATATATACCTCGTCGTATTGATCTGATACAGAAAATTCAGCATAAATTCCAACATGATCGCTGTAGTTGATTGATTTCTGATCGTGGATACGATTCATTCTTATTTCACATAGCTTCAATTCTATTTTACCTAAATAATATGCATGCTAATACATGAATTTTTCAATTTGACAAACTTTTATTAAATTATAAAAACTATTGATAAAAATATGTTTTCTCTAATTTCCTTTTTCTTAGAATCACATAAATCAAAAATTAGTAAGATTAGCAACAACTTCAGCATATGAATGAAATAATAAGATGTGTTGGACAAATGTGACAGCGGTTTGACTGCAGTTTCAGACAGTGATAGCGGTTTGACAAACAACCGAACACTTTGATACTTTATGAACGCCAGGAGATTTCTAAACATCTTACTAGTTATTACTAGAAATTATTTCTGTTGACATATTCTAAAATAGACGGTTGACGAAAAATTAGATAAATATGATGAAAAAGTCAAAATTCATAGAGTAGTAATTCATTCAATATCTAAAGTACCGGTTATATGATATATGCAATGCGGTGTTGTTGGAAAAAGAACCAAACTTTTTTTGATAACTAATACTAATGCAACTTTTGATTTTCATAACAATTTACTGAGCATACTTCTCAGAACTAATAGTTCCGTAGAATTCTGAATGCTTTAGTTGCACGAAATCACTAAACAATAACCATAATCATTTTTGAAGTGTAAGTTTAACTTTGATAAATGCTTTAGAGTTTCTATCACATCATCTTGTGCAATTAATTCATTTTTTATCGAATGTCCAAATGTGATAAAGAAATGTTTCTGTTTTTTTTTTTTTTCTTTTTTAATAATTGAACGCTTAACTTTGCTTTTCGTTTAAATCCATTCCTATTGTCTAAAATAAATACTGAAAGCATAATTAAATTAGAAAAAAAAAAATACAAAGCCACAAAAGAGCGTACAATTATGAACACATAAATCATGTTTTTTTAAGAATGTGCTTTAGTATCAAATAGCAAAATGGAATAGCACACATAAACTGAAGTTAAATTTGCATTAAGTGCCAAGCAAAAGTCCTCTAATCTAATATCTTAACACAAATATGTGCAATTATGCAAACTTACTTTTTCCACTTCTATACATAATATAATCCAAACGTTTTCCGTAACATTTTTTATTTTTGAGCCGTTGAGGTGTATAACAATTATCAAGCCTTCCGAAAGTCGCACCACAATCATCACAGCTATTCTGAAACAGTAAGGAATAAATTTCTAGAACCTTCTTTTTTTTTTAAACAAAAAACACAAGGGAACTAAAGCTAGATATGAATATTAACATTTTATTCTTTCTCTCAAATATAGATTCAATTTCTGCCTATTCTTAATAATTTATCAATTTTGATCTCCAATGAAAACAACTATATTATTTTCAGACCGGATATTTCAATACTTCAAGACTTTGTTCAAATAAGTTCGATCCAGTGACTTCTATCCTAAAATGAAATGATGATATGTAACCGGTTTTTGAATCCAAGCATCTCTCAAGTTTGCGTTTTTCATAATTAATTGATAAGCAAGGTTATCAGGTTCAATGTTAAAGTCACCTGAAATATAATGCACATCAATCAAAAAAGGAACAATTATTCTGACTTGGCAAATATTAGATTTCAAAATTTCCACTTTTAGGAAATCAGTAGAGTGTGAGATGTGATTTTCATCAAATTAGGATTGAAAATCTCATCCGTTATATGTAAAACACAACGGCAGGACACAATCAATGAAGAAATAATATAAGATATTGGCTGTCACAGGATAACTGTTCCGCTAACCAGTTTTTTAGTTAAACTAAGTATTTTGCTAACTTTTTTAAATAAACAACTGATCATCAGTTGTTTATTAAAAATTTCACTGATCATCAGTGAATAGTTAGGAAGTGTTCAAGATAAACTGAGAAAACAAACCAGCAAGAATTAAGGCATCAGCAGAATAACTTGTATGTTTGACAAACTGAGCTAGTTCAAAAGCTTGTGCAAGGCGATGAGGCAAATAGAGGTCTTTGTTAGGATCGTATTCCGCGTGAAGCTATAAATGTAAATTTTCAAAAAAAATCATTTGATTTAATTCATCTAAAAAACTAGATGTTGATCTACTACTATAAAAGACTAGAAAGAATTTATGAAATAAATAGTTCAGATCTGAAAAGTACACAATAACGAATGCAAAAAGAGAGGAACTATGATTGCCTTGATCTTTTGCAAACTTATCCCTGTTTTTGCTATGAAAATTTCAACAGAGTATTAATATGCAAGAATATGTTCGAAAAATTTACATGAGCAGCATAAAAATTGATACGGTATTGTTCAATTTCAATTTCCACTAAGCCCACACCTTTTCCACCAAACCAATCACCTCTGAAATGAAAAACATTTTAATTATTCCACGAACTTTGAAAATATCTTATTAGAACACTCGGATGCATAGAAATTACAATATTTTCAGTAAATTTAGGATTTGCAAAAGCTTCCTAATTGATTGCTACACTCATTACGACAAATAAATGTTAACGGCGAGATCAAAAGCATATGCATGAAAAGTTCCAAATTAACTAAGACAGTTACTGGAATTTTTTTTAATCTGCAGTGGTAATAGTATCAGTGTTATAAGAAAAAGTTTCATTAATTAAACAACTCAACAACTTCGATGAAAATATTACAAACTTCAATTACCTGTGTATATGATGAGCAAACCCATTAAGAGTGAAACGATGCATTAAAGTTGAAACAATTGGATGTCGACTGAAAACACAAATGCCACTTCCAGTGAATCCACTGTAATGAACAATGAAATGGGTTAAGATTTGTTGCTAAATGTAAAAGTATAAAGGTCGAGGAAAAGTGTAAATATAAATAAAACAAATGCAATCATTTTGAAACATTAACTAATTTTTAATTTCAAATAGAAAAAAAAAATAATACCTATGAAAGTAATAGCTGTAAGCATATACATCTTTCAATGCTTTTTGTAAACGAAGAAAATCACCTTCTCCCCAAACCTGAAAAAATAAAACTGGATTCTTCCAGATTTTAAACAATTATGATTTTGAGAAAAAAAAGAAATTCAACATATTATTGCATTGCTAAAAATATTCTTCATGAAAAATTTTGCAAAAGTATGACAATTTTCACACACAAAAAAAAAAAATATTTCTCAGCATAGAAAAATCAAAAATTTTAGAAAATTTCCCAGAACATAAAAACATACTTCTTCTAAAGCTACAATATCATACTCATTTTGTAGCAAAGCTTCACCAATCTTCTTTATTCGAAGAGCATGATCACTGCTTCTAAATGGCCATGGTAAAGGTAAAGCCCTGAAAGGTATACCTATTCAGTATGGAAAAGAAAATTATGCAATTAATTATCAAAAATGCATACATAAATTCAATAATCTAATAAAAATAGAAGAAAAAGTAAACATCAGCTCATTTTACTGTTGAAAAAAAAAACAAACTACGAAAATTAAAATTATATATACAGCAGAGCTAATTTTTAGCAGGCTTGAAGAATCTATGAAAACATGTTTTATGCATGTAGGAAGTTATAAATTTTATTGTTAAAGGGATGATAATACTTTATTGATTGTAGAGAAATTCAATTAATCTTCTAATTTTATTTACAAAGCTTTTCTATGTCTTTTTTTCTTTTTTTTTTAAAAAAAAAAAAAGGATTAAATACCAGCAATTTAAGCTAACAACGCGCAATATCAGTGGCATATTTTCAGGGCAATATTGTAAGGAATTTCGCCCAATGAATTGAAATTTTACTGAAATACAATTTCAGAAAAAATTTTTCTTTGCAACTAAAACATCAAAAATTGTACAAAAAATTCATAAAATAATTATTGTTATCCATTTTAGAATCTTGATTTTTGAAATAAATACTACTAGGTTGTATTATCTGCACTGAAATTAAAGGTAGAAAATGTAATTAAAAATGACTACTGATGATCGATCATCAGTGATAAAATAGCAGTATTCGACTTTTTTCTTTATTTATCAGTACTGATTTAAACATCTTCGCAATCACTGATAATAATAATGCTGGCAAAAAAGCCAATCGATGTGAAAAAAAAAAAATCAAACAAATGAAAACATTAAAATTTATTCTTTATCAATATAAAAAAATAAAATTAATCCAGCATTAGCAACACGAAAATGTTACAAAATCGATCATTATTCCACATTTCTGAAATATGTTTAATAATATCAATCCAATTCCAACCACGTTCCTGTAAGCATTAAGAATGATTATTTCCATAATTTTTATAATCTTAATTTAAACTCTAACTCTTAATTTAAGCCTTTCATATCATCTATAAAATACTCCACATTCTCCTAACACCTTTATTCTCTTACAAACTATAGAAATTGCCGTATTCAATTAACTTCCAACATATGATTCTTTTTCCAAAGAAAACCTTAATTTCAGCAAAATTTGGACAATAATTATGTATTTGCCATATAAAGTATTTATGATGTAAATATTATTGATTAATTTGTTTATAAAATTATTTACAAAAATTTTTGAATAAAATGAGGAAAACTTAATCTAAAAAAAAAAAAAAGATGAATAACTAAAATCAAATAAACCTTTTCGTCAAATTTTTCAGCAACTGAATGATCTCACATCTTTTCTGCACTTCTGCGCTTCGGTTTTATCATGTTGCAGTAAAGTGCAAGTCTTTCATTGTAAAACAACTACTTTGCACTATATTTTTATAAACTTCTGTTGCTTTAATAACTGAAATTTCAGCACAGTTTACTGTAAAAGATTTACAAATTTCACAGTGCTCAAATCATAGTGATCAAATTTGGTAAACTTTGATCACGATGATATATTCTATTGATGTAGTTTGCTAGTTAGTTAGTTAATCATCCGTAATTAATTCTTTCTATTACTGCTAATATTACTACTAGCATAGGTTATAGTTGAAAATTTTTTTGAAAACAATTCCAGAAGTAAACACTGTAAATATTTTTAACGCTATTACTGGGAATGAAACAATAATAAAACAAGAAAAAGACAGAAGTTGAACGAAGCATTTGCGCATTTTTAATTTCATTGATAAATAATTTGTTGCGCTTCATTTTCATCACTTATATATCGCTTTTTATTATTACTTCGTTCTTCATCTGTTTGACTTCACTTGACTTCATCTTCACCTTATTCTTCGCTTAACTCACTACCACTACTATTGTCTACCACTATTCTTATCATTTGGCTATAAGAATTTCCATCTCAAATTTCAGCGAAAAAAAAAAAAAATTATTGTATAAGAAAATTTGAAATTAATAATTTTTATATGAAAATAAAGTAATCCCATATAACTCCCATACTATTTCGATAGCAGATTGTTTCAACTTTAGAAAACATTTTCATAATCCAAATCGTAAATCATATACAGTATTCAATCAAAAAAAAAAAAAAGAAAAAATCAAATGTCAAAAATTTAAATTAAAGATTAGTCCCTATTATAAACACATATACCTGATCATTAAACTAAATTTTCGAATGTATTCGAACAATGTGAATGTTACGGACATTGTTAAATGTCAATTTGCTTCAACTAAAGCTGATTTTGATATTTTCAATCGTGCTTTGATGTCGTTTTTCAACTAAAAAATTTGTTTGTAGAAAAAAAAAGTCGAACATAATACGATTTACAAGTCTAAAACGGAAGGTAAAGAAAACATTAGGGAAAATATGCCAATTCTGGATAAATAACTGATAATATGACTTCAATAATGAATGATTCTGCAATCACAATCTTCACTTGAAATTTATACTGAATGTGAATAAATAGACTTTTCAACCCTTATTTTTATTTTTTTTATTCTGGTTTAATCAAATTTAAAACGAGAAATTCTGGTTTGCATAGATCATTGTAAGAAACTTTGAGAGGGAATTTTAGGAGGAAAAAATCTATTGATAAAAAACAAAGAAATGTTAAGCATTGTTAAGATAATCAGTTACACCGCTGAGAAGTCTGAATCACATATCATTAAAAATACATCATCCTAAGAGAAGAAGAGGTTTAATGATTAATTAGAAAAATCGATTCAGCAATATCTTCTATCTTTTCTGATTTAATTTGCATAATTAGATTTTAAAATATGAATAAATGAATCAATTAGGATAGTAAGAAAAAAAAAAGACAAAGAAAAAAAGCATTTATGGAAGAACTGTATTTTTTCAAAATAATTTGTAACCGAAAAATATGTCATCATGTTATCTATGTCCACTTGAAAAAATAATAACAAAGATAATGATAATAGTAATTAATAATTAGTTGATAATTAACAAATAGTTAGTAACTAATAATTGATAATTAATGAGTGATAATAATATATATAGTAATAATAACATAGTAGTGCATAATTATAAGTAAATGATATTACCAGCATTATAAAATGAATCGTAGAAAGTTTTAGGCAAAATTTCAGAATTTTCAGATTATGATTGAGAAGCAAATCCCATAAGTGTTTCCTTTTTTTTTTTTTTTTTAAACGCTAATGCATCTTTTAGGATAAAAAAAAAAATTAAAAATTCATATTATTATTGGAAAGATATTCAATTAATTTCAATGTGAAAAAAAAAATCGTTTTTTTTTTTTTTTTCTTTCAAAAATATCAAAAACTCACCGTAATAATTTCTGGTTATTAGTGCATGTTTCTGAAATGAACTTATTGGTGATCCACAGAGTTTATAAAAAATTTAAAAAATTTGTGAAAAAAAAATTTTTTTTTCCTTCCGATAATTTTTAGTAAAAAAAAAAAAAAAAAATTCACATAAAATCTATCAATTTTATCGTCAAAAAATTTTTTACATAAAAAAGAAACATGATGTGATAATTTCTGATTACTATTACATGTTCCTCAAATGAACTTGTTCGTCTTCTGCGGAGTTTTTTTTCTCGGACATTTTTCTGAAAAAAAAAAATGAAGGACAAAAAATTATCTTTCAATAAAAAAAAAAAAAAAAAACAAGAATGATAGTGTTCAACACACATAAAAAAAAAAAAAAATAAAATAATTGTAATTGCTTAAATGAATCATGATGTATGAAAATGATCAGAAATCATTTAATCGAATATTCGTGATAAAAAGTACAAGCACTTCAGTACTGCACAAAAGGTTTTCGTTCTTTTTGTAAACCAAGAAAAAAGAATAAAATTTGCAAAAGTTTATGTGAATTAATACCTAAATCCCCCCCCTCCCCCCCGAGTAATTAGATGAAGGAACGTAAGTAACTAAAATATATGAAATAAATGAGTAAATAATTCTAAGGCATGTAAATGAGTAACTATGAGCAAATAATCTTCAAAATATATTAATGATAACAAAAGAAATTATATAAACTTGAATTTGTTATTATTGATAACAATGAAAAATGAATCATTACTAAAGATTAATTGCATTAATTTAATCATTACTGAAGATTAATTACAACATCTATAGTTGAGATTAGTTGCAACACCTCTAATCAAGATTAATTGCAACACCTTTATTTAATTTTTCGCATCTCTAAAACACACTCACTCAGTACATCTTAATGATAAATCACCCAAATAAATTTAAATTTAATAAGTACATGAAACAATGAAAATCATCAGTGCTATTAAATCTTTATACCATACAATTTTCACTTTTAAAAATGATAATTAAAGAACACTGAAATTTTCCAAAAATACATTTCAATTAAAGATTTAAAAGATACAGAGAATGAAAAGGGAAAATTTACATCTCACAACAAAGAAATTATTATTGTCGTTCTTTCTTTTCTTATTTGTTTAATTATTATTATTATTATTATTTTTTTGAGATCTTTAACACAGTAGAGTTTTAATAGAGTAGAGCCTACAGCGGTATTATAAGAAAGCCTAGATTTATGCAAAGTAATTAAAGTAAAAAAAAATGATTGAGCAAATAGTAAGAAATAGCATTGATAAACATGAATTAATTACATGAAAATTCTAACAAAATTCGTGAATGACGCTTAAGCCAAAACTTACAACAACAACAAAAAACGCCTAGTTCAAGAGGAAGAGATACTATTATTTCACAAGACATCATTAATCCATAAAACTGTATGGTATTTCACGGCTATGACTCCAGGTTGAGATAACTAAGATAGCTGACTGTTGCTGAATGTATGTAATTTAACGTTTTGTTTCTGGTTGTGTGTGTATTGTATATTTTGGTTTCAGCACGCATGCTGCATGTTGTGATTTTGTAAACAATCATTTTGTTTACTTTACCTTTTTTTTTTTTTTTTTTTCACATTATCCGTTACACTGACAGTTAAAATATTTTATGCTTAATATACTTTAAATATTTATTTTCAGTATATTTTCAATGTCACCGCTGCTACATCATTTGCTTTCCATTACACGAACGCAGTTATCTCGAACGCAGCTAAAGCAAATGACGAAAGCTTTTAGTGGAAGTCAAATACAAAATACTCATCCTGCAACAAGTTAGTTAATAGTTTTGTTGCGTCTACGTTTGCCTTGAGTGACCTTGAATTTTTCAGACAAAATTATAAAATGATTCAAATCATTTACATGTAATTCATATTTCATTTGGCTACCGTATTTCTTCATCAAATATTTCTTTTTTTTTTGCATGTGTAAAATACTCATTAAAAAGTATTGCGGCCAAGAGAAATGCACTTTTAGTATAATTCATGGAAAATTTATGTTGTAGACTATGATGAAGAAGCAGATGATCGTGATCGTTTCAAATACGACAAATTTTATAATAGCGTAGTAATGTATGGTTCACCAGTGGTACTCGCGATCCTTTTTTATGTAACTTATTTGGGACATCAGATGGAGGAACATTTCGATCAAGACAAATATGTTCACTATCCGTATCTCACTGTTCGCAATAAGGTTAGTTGAATTTGAAGTGAATATTTTACCTTTTAAAAATTCTGTTACATAAAAATACTAGTTAAAATTTTTTTGTCATCGGTTTTTTAGCCGCTTCCATGGGGTGATGGTAATCACTCACTGTTCCACAATCCAGAAAGAAATTACGTGCCAGGCGTTGGTTTCGAAAAGAAACAAGAAAAACACCACTGATTTTGTCAGTTATTTGGAAGTGCTCTGTGATTTTATTTCATTTCTATCAACTGTTTTATATTTATTATACATCTGAGGATTTACTAATGTATAATCGAAAATATTCACACTTTTTTACTGTCGATTACTGCAGAAAGAGTACTGAGTTATTTTATTCTTTTGAAAGTCAGATAGTTTATCTTTGCTATACATCTGAGAGGCTGAGCCTTATACATACGTTATAGACATAAAGCCTATTGAGTACACTGTGAAGAATAAATAGAAAGAATGAATTCCAAGGTTGGAATATTTTTGCTGATACTCTTTTTCGATGCATTTCATATTTTATGATTTTTTTTATGATATGAAAAGATCAGGAAAAATAAATTTAAACTGAATGCGAAAATCACTTCCACGACTCATAATTTCCCAAATATCATTTTAACGGTCATTATTCTTCAGTAATTCTTTTCATAACATCTTTTAGTTTCTTAGTGGAAATCTAGCGTTTGATAGTTCATTTGTATGTCACGCAAATATGGAAGCACGTCCATAAAGGACCTTTTTAATGAAGGTTTCTAGTGCTATTAATTAGGATTTTATATCGAAGTGTAATAAATGTGCAGCGAACAAAGTTTATTGCCTCACACACTAGATTGGTTTACAACGAATGGCTGATTTTAGAATTATTCGATGCGAAAGCTTCTTTTTTTTTTAAAAGAAGTAACGCAATGCTTGGAATGTCATGCATTCGTTATCTCTAAATAACTTGTGGTAGTGTTCATTCAAAAGTAAGATCCTTGTCAGTTGCATAAGATATTTATATTTCATGGGTTTCATGCTCGAATTGTAACATTCTTGTGTTACAACATTTCAGTTTTCGGCTGCTTGTAACCTAAAGTTTGCTCATTAAGTACTTCCGAGTATACTGTATGGTAGGGTACAATGAATTCAAGTAAAAAAATCACATTCAGAATCCTAGCAATTCACATTTATCTATAATTGTTCTTGTAAAATCTTAGAAAAGCATCAAGTATGACTGAAACATTTTATAAATTTAGTCCAAAGCTACATTATTATAATAAATTTAACAAGTACTCGTGAAGCAGTTATTATTGAAATTTGATGTAATTACAAATTCAATAATACACACATGTATGATTATACAGAAAGGATCAATGACACTATCATTTCTATCATTTTAATTCAAAAATGACTATCATGGTGAATACGGAAGCTTTTTTCATACGCCTAACTAGGTCAGGCAAATCTGTCTGTAAATTACAAAAGTAGTAGAATCATAGTTTTTATTATTAAAGTAGCCATTACTTGTCAAAAAAGATAACGTATTTGATTAGCAAACGTTATCAATGAATTATATCGAAATATAAAATTAGCTAATAGAAGAAGTGGAATTCACTATTATTAATATGTCTTTTACTACATTTGAAATAAATCATTAAAAGACGTAAGGATTTGCAGGAAAAATACTGGAATGGAAAATGATAAAAATTCATTATAAAGGAATTATCAAAAAAAAAAAAATTGTTTCAAATATTACACTCTTATTTGCAGTATATAATAATTTTTATTTTAAATATTAAAAAATCAGTAAATGATTTTTTTTTTTTTTTTTTTTTCTAATTTTTCTATCTTTCTACATTAATCCAATTTGTTCGTTATTTAAATAGCACATTAATTCCTTAGCGTAGTTATTAATTTTCAAAGGAACTCATATATAAATATATTCTTTTCATTCTTTCTTTCAAAAATTTATTGAACAAAATTGTGGATAATTTTTTAATTGTTTTTGAAATAATAACTGAACAAATCTGATAACTCAAGTTTTATAGTTCGAAGGAATATTGCAATGTAGTTAATATGATTCAGTTTAAACAAATGATAATTTAACACATTTCAAAACAATCGATATTTTCTACTCCTTTAAAAAAAAATAGGAAAAAACAAATATAAATTAATAGCAATCATCAGTTTTTATCAAATTTATCAACAATACAAGCAAATTATCCTTAAATATTGAATCAGTATTTCAGGTATTATTATTATTATTAATTTCAAATACCTGTTCATTAATCAAACTTTTATTCGCAATATTAAGAATACATTAATTAGCATTCAACAGATTTAAAAAAACAAAAAAAAAAAAAAAAGAAAAAATCGGATATAAAGAAGAATTTTCAATTTCGAAACAATTGTATATCATGCTATTCATCTGTTGATATACATTGTCAAACTAATATTTACCAATTTATGATTTACATAAATTTGATTGCTTTTTAAATTTTGGACTAAAAAATTTTTTGAAAAAAAAAAAATTATAATTAATTACATATGAAATTTATGAATTTAGCATGCATGTACATATATTTCAACCATACATATTTCTAATAAAATTCGATTACAATTTTTACTAAATCATAAATCTTTTACTGAACTTACCAAATGTATCTTTTCCTTTACAAATCTTATCAAAAAAAAAAAAAAAACCTACCTCGATTATTTGTTAAAATAATGCAAAAGAAATGAAACAAAGTTATAATGAGAATGCTAACAAACTTTGATCAAGGTAAAAAATTTCGAACAAATATTTTTCAAATGTTACGTTATTTTAATAAAAAATGTTGGCGCATTTTTTCACAAATCAAATATAAAATTCGGTCTACTTAGAGCATGCTAAGTAGAATAGCAGAAGAATATGGTTTGATAGTCACCAATTAAGCGTATCAATGGAAGAAATCATTCAGTAATGAATGATCCATTATTTTTCATCACATTTAATTTAATAGGAATAGCACTTTTTTCTTTTGAGAGAGGGAATTAACTTTGGGGATTTTTTTTTTTTTTTTTTTTCAAATATTTATGTTTGATAAATATAAAAATAAATTGATAATAATTTGAGGTAATCTATTTTTGTAATTTAGAATTTTCGGCACACTTTTAAAGCTGTGTTTTTAATAAATTTTCATCTTCAATTCAATTTGGAGTTTAAAAAACTTTTTTTTTTTTTTTTTGATTCTCAATATTATGATGATTTCAGTTATGTGTTGTAAGCTTATTCCTTCATTTTGCATGCTTTTATCGGTAGCAAATGCAGTGCATTTGGGACATTATGGTCCGCAAGAAGAACATTATCAGGATGTGCAACCACAAGAAATGCAACGGAAAAGTATAAAATTACTACGAATGGGACCGCAGATTATGCAACCGCAAGGTATGCTGCCACAAGGTATGCAACCACAAGGTATGCAACCACAAGGTATGCAACCACAAGGTATGCAACCACAAGGCATGCCACCACAAGGCATGCGACCACAAGGTATGCAACCGCAAGGTATGCAACCGCAATACATCGAACCACAAGGTAACTAATTATGATTACACATTTGTATCCACAATGCTTACTTCTTACAGTCTTCAGTCATCATTCAACTAATTTCAGCTGATGATAAAAAGTGTGCTGGGTGCATAATAAATATAAATTGTGGCGGTGCAGATTGTATGCCAACGGTAACACAACAAACGCCAACACCACCGATTTGGACGTTACCACCCACGCAGACACCAGGATGGACTCCTGGACCACCGCTAACTCCAAAACCAACGACACCTCCGCATGTGACACCAGGAGGTTGTCGTTTGTGTCCATGTTACATACCTCCTCCATGTCAGATATGTCAACCATGTCAATGAGAACTATGAGCACTTCATTCAACCATAGCTAAAACAAAAAAAAAAAAAAAAAAAAAAAAAAAAAAACAATTTTCTATTTCATTATTATTCCTCAGTAAAAGACTTAGTAAATTTCTTGCAAACATATAGCAAAAGACAGTTTTAACAAAATAAATTTGTGAGATTGAAAATTCAATTTCATTACGATTAATGTTTTGATCTGAAGTCAGCAAAGATAATTGGAAACAAATTTTGCTCATAAAGTATAATATTAGATTTATCTTAGATTATTAAACTATCCTAGAAGTGGCGCAAAAGTTTCATCAAAAGAAGCGCCATTGTGAAATGCTTATTATACAGTTTCTGTGCATTAATTATTTTCCGTGGAAAAATTGAAAGTTCGAATTGTGAATAAAATTCATTAAACCATTTTGATTGAAATACAACAGTAATCACATCTAACTTAATTTTTTCAACTTCTTTACAAACAGTTTTTGTTATTTATAAGATTTGACATTAAAAAGATTTCTCTATTTCTCACCAACTCCAGAGATTTAGTAAATAGAGTTCTTAACAATTAATTTAAATCGTAAACTGAAACTTAGTCTGAACTATTAATACGTATCCAAATTATTTGCTCTCTATTTGCTTCAAGTTTCCTTTTTTTTTTTTTTTTTCTGAACTTCAGTCATTTGAAAAATTGAAACTAAAACATAAATGTCCCTCGTTCAGAAGTGAAAACCAACGTTTAGAGTACAGTTCACATTCCTTTCCTTAAAAAAACAAAGAGAAAGAAAAGTATAAAACATTCTTCCAAAGGTTATTAAATGAAAAATGTTGCAAAGATATTTGTTTTATTTCAAATCAAGCGGAAGTTCAAATCGAACATTTGTGGAACATAAACGTAAGCTCAGTTGAAACGTAAACTCATCAAGTCTGAAGCAAACAAGCGTGGTTAACTCTATCACGTCTATATACCACGATCCAAAGCATACCGGATTTCAACCGAAACACTCTGCATTCTTCCTGATTTCCGGACTCAATCCATTAAATTGACTTAAATTCACTCAAACTATTAGAAAATAATGCTTTGCTACATACTTTCTCAGCTTTACAATTTTAAATTGCTATCAGCTGTTGTACTTTCATCCCATTACTGATACCAAATAAACTAATAAGTGTGCCAATAACGTGAAATATTTTCCACCTAATAAGCAACCATTATTATACGTGAAAAGTTTGCTACTTTTAAACGTCGTAAAAATTATACTATTTTAAAGAAGCAAATAGTGTTCCACTCTATAAAACATACATTCTTTTCTAACACAGTTAATCAAACAACAGTTCTGTGCAGTTCGGACTTTAACATTAATAATCTTTTGTTAACAAATTGCGAAGACTAATAATGAATGTTTTTAATGATGTGTCACCTTACTGATGTTCTAGTAGTAAATAAATGAAAAGACAGTCAATCTTTCCTAACCGTCAAAATATCTATGTAAAACTCACTGCAACCAAAATGACAAAACAAAATTTTGGAAACAGAGAAGTAAGCAACAAAAAAATGAATTAAGTGTGCTATGTCATGCATACAACAGTATAACAGTTTAATTGTCCGCAAAATAAGTATGTTTGATAGCATCATGAAATAAACAAGATCCGATAAATTTGAAATTTCATGAATTATAAAAAAAGAAAAAAAAAAAACACCCTTTGAAATATGAATTGCAATAGCGATAGGGAGACAGAGTGTAAAGTATAAAAAAAGAAATTTAAAAATGTAAACTAAAAAGATATGTTTACATAGGAATAGCTGTGTTGATTAACAGTGTATAAAATATTCAAAACTTTCTGCAAATATTACATATTACAAAAAAACAAAGAAAGACACTAAAGAACAAGTTGAATCAAGTGTACAAAATAAGATACCATAATTATATATTCGTACTTAATTCCACTGCAATGCTTTAACAATGATCGTACGCAATAATCGTTTTAATTGTAAAAATGATACTATAATATGAATGGAAGTCAAGAAAATCAGACTCCAAGCTTGAACAGGTCGGATTGCAATTAGTATTTTAACTATGCATAGTATTTTACAGTGAAAAAGAAAAAAGAAACCTGGAACCACAGACTATGTAATAGTAAACTTTACACAGAAGCCCTAAGTAACTTTTGCTGCTTAACAGGAGGCATAACTGAAGCATTACAAATTATATCCCATGAATATGATGAACATTTCAATTCTTTCGGTATTGACACACCAATGAAACGATATTCAGAATTTTCGTGCTCCACCTGAAAGCTATTAATTACAAAGGTACTTAAATATCTTTATATTCTGTCGCCCTATCTCATACACGGTAAGTCCGAAATTCTTTTATCAATTTCAATAGGATTAGCACAATGTTTATGAAAGTTAAGGTAATAAACAACAAGGTATGATTAATTAAAATCGTCGTACACCTACTATCGTTGTTCAGCTGAACTCGTCAAAAATGTTTGAAAAAAAAAAAATAAAAAATAAAATAAATAACTACTTTAGTCACAGCAAATTTATCAATGTGGCTGGTACATGGAATCAAAGGTCCATAAGTTATATCGACAAAATCACCCATTCGATAGATAATTACTCCTTGCTCACCATTATCGGTTTCTTGTTTTATTTCATGCAGAAGTTCTTGTTTAGAACTACAAACTCGCAAATTGATTATTTAATAAACGAATAACAAATAATACTGAAACTAGGATGACTGCAAATTAAATAAATAAAAATATGCATACATATTTGAATCAAATAAATCCAATGCAAATTCTAATGATACAAATAATGGTTCGATAACCAAAGCTTTTGTGATATACTCTCCAACGACTTTTTCAGTCAGCGCAAATAAATTTTCCTATAAATTCGTGTGAAATATTAAGGAATAAAAAATGAAATACAACAAAGGAATATAATGAATGGGTGTTTCTTGCTACAGTGGTACGAATAGAGAACTGTCTTGATTATAAGTAAATTTAGGGAAGATAAGAATAAAGTAGTCTTGTCAAATGTAGATTTATTTTATGAAAATTGTAATCTTACTGAAAAGAATTCTTTTATTTAATTTCTTGCATATAAAGAGAGAAATTCTACACTTACCGAATTTGGTGCCCAATCATGCAGATCTTTTATTTTCGCAATATATTCAAACCTACCCGAATGATCTAAATAATATTAGTTTTATAACAAAGAACAGACAAAATCAAATTATAACCGATATATTCACATCGAAATGAGCTATCGATCATGTCTAAAATCATAACGATGTGAACGAAATTACAACTTACAATCCACTTTCGAAGGACCAACTAGCTGCACATCAACGGCAAATGCTTGATCAACAACAGCACCTAACAAAAATGCACATGACCGCCAGTAAGCCTGCAAAAATATTTTCCAAAATTAATACCTTTCAGAAAAAAGATAATTTCATCCACTATTTAATCCCTTCTTATCTAAAAATAAAAAGAATAACGACAGAAATACTAAACAAATTAGAAAAAAAAAGATATTAATAACAAATAAATGAATAAGAACAAATTTACAACCATATTAACAGCATTGGCGTGGTTTTTATTTTGGCAATTATAACCTAATGGCATCATCCTTCCATCACCCGATAACTTCTCCAATACTGACTTGTAAGAACCATTTGCATATGCTAATGCCATGCGGTCAGCTTTTAACCGTGAAATATCTGAATTTAACATTTCCAACAGAGACAATAATAAACAATAGAATAAAACAACTAGGATCAACGAGGATGAATTTCTAGCCGTAGCCGTTTTTCGAATATTAATGAAAGAGTTGATGTACATATGCAATGCAATGTAATCGAATGGAATAACAATAAACTTTGAAACAATGACCTTGAAAATAAAATTTAAACTAAATTTGAACTGCAACTTAAAGTCTTTGGACAAATCTCTATAAACATTAACTAAACATACGCTTCATACAATCATGAAAGGTTGAAATATTTTGATTCATCAGAACTTTGACGGGATCATTACCAGCTTCATTTTCAATTGTCCAAAACACCTAGGAATTCCAATGCATTAATTTTACATGGAAAATTAATGTTTTATTTTGAGCGACATATTAAGCGTTCCTACACTGAACGATCAAATAAATTTTTGCATAGCGCTTTTATATTTTAAACATATAACATTATAATTGGATCAGACTAAGTCTACCTAGAAGGAATGGTATTTATGAGCTTGACTTAACACAAAGCTTACTCTGAATTTCATTTCTTAAAACAGACCTTTTCAACTTTTTTATCATGAATCGCAGCTTGCCGCTGTTGTTCATTACAAAATAGTTCCAAACGTCGTTGTCGATCAAAGCTGTGGAGCGCACGACATCCTGAAGAATATTATAAACTAAAGCAAAGAAAAGAATGAATTTTTGGAAGAAATATGAGAAAATTAAAAATGCTAGAGTGATTATTATTAAATTTCCATCAATTAATTCTCAAAAATTTTCTCTTCTTACAAACAATAGATATTATTCATTAGTTTCTTAATAAACACTTTAATGAACATCTGCCAGAAACTGATGATTTTTCTAACAATTACATTTCGTGAAAAATTTCATTAATATTGTCCAAAGATTTATAGAATCTTACCTTTTTTTAAAACATTCACACTTTGTACTGAACAGCAAATTGTTTTTTCCATTAAAAAACCCAACATGACCCAAATTTATTATGGCTAATTTAAACGATCGCAACAATGATCAGTCATAATTCCATGAGAAAAGCAGCTGTAATATTTATTAATGATAACAATAATAAAAGTAGATTTTAAGCTTGATATAAGGAAATATACATCAGATTAAACTTCGTCTAATTAAAAATTAGCTAAATGCCTTCAATATAATCTGATTCTGTTAACATAATCAAATTCTGTTATTTCATAAAGTTAATTGCAACAATCTTCACATACTAAATTAAATTAGGTGCTTTTTTTTTTTGATATTTATAACTTGGTTTTGGACACTGTCAACGTAATCTAATTCTATTCAATATAACTGTAAAGGACATCGAATCAAAGAATCACAAAATAACTAAATGCATCAAATTAGACATAGTACAACAATGTGAAACAATTAATTAGTTACAAAGTGGACGGAGTCACTCCAACAGGTAATTCCCGGACATCGGCCATTTTTATTATGAATTTATTAAGTGTAACTGACGTGCGTGAGTGATTTATTTTCTTACTTAGATTTATTAACAGTACTAAGCCATAAGCATTTACGTGTGTTTCACGTACTTGAATGCATCAAGCGCTATTAAAACTGTTGGACAGATATCTATTTTAAAAATTTTTTTACAAATAATTAAACTGTTATATTGTTGTATGCATGACATAGCACACTTAATTCATTTTTTTGTTGCTTACTTCTCTGTTTCCAAAATTTTGTTTTGTCATTTTGGTTGTAGTGAGTTTTACATAGATATTTTGACGGTTAGGAAAGATTGACTGTCTTTTCATTTATTTACTACCAGAACATCAATAAGGTGACACATCATTAAAAACATTCATTATTAGTCTTCGCAATTTGTTAACAAAAGATTATTAATATTAAAGTCCGAACTGCACAGAACTGTTGTTTGATTAACTGTGTTAGAGAAGAATGTATGTTTTATAGAGTGGAACACTATTTGCTTCTTTAAAATAGTATAATTTTTACGACGTTTAAAAGTAGCAAACTTTTCACGTATAATAATGGTTGCTTATTAGGTGGAAAATATTTCACGTTATTGGCACACTTGTTCATAATAGTTTATTAGTTTATTTGGTATCAGTAATGGGATGAAAGTACAACAGCTGATAGCAATTTAAAATTGTAAAGCTGAGAAAGTATGTAGCAAAGCATTATTTTCTAATAGTTTGAGTGAATTTAAGTCAATTTAATGGATTGAGTCCGGAAATCAGGAAGAATGCAGAGTGTTTCGGTTGAAATCCGGTATGCTTTGGATCGTAGTATATAGACGTGATAGAGTTAACCACGCTTGTTTGCTTCAGACTTGATGAGTTTACGTTTCAACTGAGCTTACGTTTATGTTCCACAAATGTTCGATTTGAACTTCCGCTTGATTTGAAATAAAACAAATATCTTTGCAACATTTTTCATTTAATAACCTTTGGAAGAATGTTTTATACTTTTCTTTCTCTTTGTTTTTTTAAGGAAAGGAATGTGAACTGTACTCTAAACGTTGGTTTTCACTTCTGAACGAGGGACATTTATGTTTTAGTTTCAATTTTTCAAATGACTGAAGTTCAGAAAAAAAAAAAAAAAAAGGAAACTTGAAGCAAATAGAGAGCAAATAATTTGGATACGTATTAATAGTTCAGACTAAGTTTCAGTTTACGATTTAAATTAATTGTTAAGAACTCTATTTACTAAATCTCTGGAGTTGGTGAGAAATAGAGAAATCTTTTTAATGTCAAATCTTATAAATAACAAAAACTGTTTGTAAAGAAGTTGAAAAAATTAAGTTAGATGTGATTACTGTTGTATTTCAATCAAAATGGTTTAATGAATTTTATTCACAATTCGAACTTTCAATTTTTCCACGGAAAATAATTAATGCACAGAAACTGTATAATAAGCATTTCACAATGGCGCTTCTTTTGATGAAACTTTTGCGCCACTTCTAGGATAGTTTAATAATCTAAGATAAATCTAATATTATACTTTATGAGCAAAATTTGTTTCCAATTATCTTTGCTGACTTCAGATCAAAACATTAATCGTAATGAAATTGAATTTTCAATCTCACAAATTTATTTTGTTAAAACTGTCTTTTGCTATATGTTTGCAAGAAATTTACTAAGTCTTTTACTGAGGAATAATAATGAAATAGAAAATTGTTTTTTTTTTTTTTTGTTTTAGCTATGGTTGAATGAAGTGCTCATAGTTCTCATTGACATGGTTGACATATCTGACATGGAGGAGGTATGTAACATGGACACAAACGACAACCCCATGGTGAAGGTTGTTTTGGTTTTTGAGTTAACGGTGGCCCAATTGTCCATGCTGGTCTTTGTGTAGGTGGTAATGTCCAATATGGTTGCGTATATGGTGGTATTGGTTGCTGTGTATATGGTGGCATTGGTTGCTGTGTATATGGTGGTATTGGTTGCTGTGTATATGGTGGCATTGGTTGCTGTGTGTATGGTGGTACCGTCGGCATGCAGTCTTGACCACAATTTATATTTACTACACAACCACTACATGGTTGACCAACAGCTGAAATATGAAATTATTCGTTGATATTCATTTAAATTTAAATTCATCGTTTAAATCTTGATCAAATTTAGCTACTGAGTAACACGAGGAAATTTACAAGAAGCAAAAATGATTGCCACATGCTATATAATTCATAATTAATTACTTAGCGGTTGCCTGGGTTGCAAACCATGGATTTGTGGTTGCATAGTTGGTGCAGGTAATCGTGGTGCACCTGGTTGCTGTCCATAACCTCCTCCGTAGTACATTGCATTTGCTACCGATAGAAGCATGCAAAACGAAGGAATAAGCTTACAACACATAACTGAAATTATCATAATATTTGGAATCAAAAAAAAAGTTTTTTTTTTTTTTTAAAACTTTAAATTAAATTAAAAATAAAAAATTATTAAAATATAGCTTTAAAAGTGTGCGAAAAATTCTAAATTACAAAAAATAAGCTACCTCAAATTTATCAACAATTTTTTCATATATTTATTAGATAGAAATTAAAAAAAAAGACCCCCCCCCCCCTCACTACAAGTTAATTCATTCTCGAAAATGCTGTTAAGTGTGACAAAAATGACCGACCAACCAGTCATTCATTACTAAATAAATTCTTTTCATTTATTCAAACTAACTTACCTACGCTTACTTTGTCGTCTTATTTTGGTGACATTTTGCTTTATCATTTTCTGCTTATATATAATTTGGAAATCTTTTACTCAAATAACGTGATATTTTTTAAAAAAATGTTTTTTTTTTGATCAAAAATTGCTTTTTTGTGAACAATGATAGTTAGCTAAAAAAAAAAAATTTTTTTTCTCTTTATTTTGTTCTTTGAAATTTTTTGTTTTTTTTCAATTTGATATTTTTTTGTTTGAAAAAAAAAAAAATGCATAACTTATCAAACTAATTTTGTTCATTTGATTTTTTTTTTATTTTTAATTGTTAAAAAAAAAAAAAATTTTTTAAAATTATGAATTAAGCATAATTTAATTGTCAATGGTTCGGCAAATTTATCATAATGTGTGATATATATTTAAATTTTTTTTTTTTGATAAGAAGCTCAAAAAAAAATGAAATCAAAAAAAATGTATCATATTTGATTCAAACTGAACTAATCAAATATTTTAATAAGAAAATATTTCCATCATATATTTTTTTTTAAGTACAATTATTTTTAAAAAAATTTTTTAAAGTAAAATTACAATTGTAGACATTTTATTATTAACAATACTATTTAATTTTCATTTATTATTTAATGAATATTAGAATAAATATTTATCAATTTTTGATTTATTATCAAAAATTTTCTTTCATTTTCCTTTACTTTTTGCGCAAAAAAGAGCAAAAAAAACTTAGATCACATTAGATTTTTTTCTTTTAAAGTATGCAAATTTATTTTAAATATTATCTTTTTTCCTTTTATCATTTAAATAATTTCTATTAATTGCATCCAAAGTGAAAAAAAAAAAAAAAAAAGAAGAAACGACATTTAAAATCATTAATTCATTTGTTAGTGTTAAAAATTAAATTATTATTTTGAAGTTGACATCGATATACTTCAAGTAATTTAATTCGTTTATTTTATATATACAATTATGTGACAATTAAAAAACACTTTACTTTACTAATTATTGTCAAATAATTGATCTGATGTGACACAAATAATTTTTACTTGGCTAATTGATTATTTAGCTTCAATCTTTTCTTGTCACATTTCCATTTACCATCTGTTAGTATAAATTGTTTAGAGCTATTACAGCAATAAATGTTAATTGATCTAAAAGCAAATTTAAAATTTCATTTTAAATTAATAATTTATTAGTTTTTTTTTTGCTGAATTGTTAGCATTTAGAATTAATTAATTAATTAATTAACTAATATAATTTTTTTTTACTTTATTTGTAATGAATAAGTAAAAGTTATTATTTTTGAAATGTAAAAAAAAAAAAAATGAAAATGTTAAATTTAAAATGTCTAACATATATATTATTTATGCTACATTAATAACATTCTATGCATAGCATAGTGATTTGATAGAAAAAAAAAAAAATGCAAAAGAAAAAACAATGAGAAACATACAAAAATATTTTTTATAATTTTAAAATTATAATTCAGTAATTAAATTTTTTTTTTTAAAATTATAATTAGATTAACATTAACCAAAATACATACATAACAATCAAATAAAAAAGAATGCAAATAAAGAATTATCACCGAAAATGATTGGAAAAAAAAAATAAATAAAATTGAAAAAATGAACAAATTAAAAAAATAAATATGAACAATTAAAAAAAAATTTCAAAAATTTTCATAAATATTATTTGGTTATAAATTATAAGTTTGTTTGTTTGTTTGTTTATTGAAATATTTTCATCAAATGGAATTTCTTTCTTTTTTTTTTTTCACTGAAATTAGCTAAAATGAAAAATTTTAATTTACTAATTGGATGAACAAAAATTTTTTTTTTATTTTAATACATTTAAAAATTATTTTTCATTTTCTTTCGTTTCGTTTCGTTTTTTTTTTTTTTTTTTTTGTTTTTGTTTTTGTTTTTGCAATTTTTATTTGTAATTAGGAAAATAAATAATTAATAGATAAGCATAGGGAAATATTCAAAATTATGAGAAAATCCTAACAATATTGAATATAACAAATAAGCAGAATAAATTAATTTGAGGTCGATTTGAGGAGGAATGTTTCAGGTCACGTATAATCAAATCTAAATTTCCATCACCTATTTTTGAAACAATTACGTTACGTAATTGACGTGTCCTGAAAATTACACTACATGACGAAAATTTTGACGCAAACCTTGGGAAAACAAAAATGTAAAATTCAATTCAAAAATGTCAAAATTTTAAATTCTAAAATTTTTTTTTTTTTTGTAATTCAAAAATTATCAAAAAAATAATTTTCCTCTTTTTTTTTTTGAAAAAAAATGTTTTTTAAAAATTTAACTCTTACTTTGTTAATGATGTTTCTAAAGTAATTTTTGTTGGATTTATCATTTTTTCATCTTTACAATCATTTCCACCAACAGTAAGCTCAACTTGCCAACCTCTAAAAAAATTAATTCAATTAAAAACATTGAATAATAACAATCAATTCAATTTCAAAATTAATTTTAATAAAAGCAATTAAAAAAAAAAAAAAAAATAAAATACCTATCCAAAAGTTCAATATCATAGCAACTTTGATGATGGCGCACTTGTCCTGCTGCTTTCATATTATAGTAATTGTGTCGTTTTCCTCGATTTTCAATTGATAAACGACCATTGTAACCAATAAAAATCTGAAAATTTTGTTATTAAATTTTTAAAAATTAAAAAAATTAAATTACCTAAATTAATAATTATGCTTAATAAAACTAATTTTACATTATTAACATATAAAATATTGATATAGCAATCAATTTTATAACTAAATCAAAATTTTTAAATTTAAACTTCAAAAAACTAAGAAAAAGAAAGAAAAAATTTTACCAAATAAAATAATTGATATAAAAAAAAAAAAAATGTTAGGAATTTTCTTAAATATTTAAAATATTTTTTTTTTTTTTGAAAATTAAATTTTGTTAAAATAATTTTATCATTTTCGTCTTATTATTATCAACATTTTTGTTTTTTTTTGTTTTATAATTATATATTTTTTTATTTCTATATTTTTTATAATAATAATTTGTTTTATAATTTTTTTATAAGTAACAAATATTTTTATAACTTTCTTTTTTTTTTTTTTTTTGCATCAATTTTAATGATAACAATTAATTATTGATAAATGACCATTGTAACCAATAAATATTTGAAAATTTTGATATTAAATTTTTTAAAAATTAAAAAAATAATTTGAAAAAAAAATAATTCGAAAAGTTAGCAAATAATAAAGGTAATAAATATTAATTTTACCTTTATACCGGTGGTAATTTCAGGTGATTGTAAATCGAGCACTTTCTCTAACAGATATATTACAAAGCCACTATGCTTTAACCAATCATCATTGATATTTTGTTTCTTTTTTACAAATATTAGCTGAAAATTTTGCATTTTATATTAAAATAATTGATTAATTAAATTCGAATTTCATTTAAGATTTAAGCAAAAAAAAAAAAAAAAAAAAATAAGAAAAAATCTTTTTTTTTTTCTCCTAAAACTAATCAATTGTATGAATGAAAAAAAAAGTAAAGCAAATTACTTTAAATTAAAATACTCTAAAAGTTTAAAATTTTGATTTTATATTGAAATACTTTAAATGGTGAAAAATTTGTCAAAAAAATGTTTTAGAAAAATAAGCAAATGATTTATGATATATTAGTTACAAAATAAATATTAATAAAATATCAATTATTACAAAAATTAAATATTTTAAAAATTAAAAGTATGCAATTAACGTATTATGAATTTATTGCTTTGTCAATAATTGCATAAATTTAATATATGAAATTATATAATTAAATTCTATTAAATATTGACAAAAATTGAATAAGGAAGAAAAAAATTGAATAATTATTTTAATTTATAAATTAGCTACATTTAGCATTAACAAATGTTAATTTGAAATTTAACAAAAATTGAATATAAAATCTAATCGGAAAAAAAAATTAAATATTTATTTTATTTTATAAATTAGCTAAATTTAGAACAAACAAATCTAATTTTGAAATTTAAATTGATTAAATTGAGATAAAGTAAAAAAAAAAAAGAAAAAACAAAAAAAGGATAACCTTAGCAGTGATCCTTTGATTATCCGGAAATACTGATGGCTGTGTGAGTGAGATCAGGAATGCCGTTGGCCAACCGATAAATGCAATACCTTCGTCACTTATTACAGCACCAGATGATTCAATAAAAACGGATGGAAATTCTATCAAATTCCAATGATTTCGATTAAATTTTGTTTCACTCTGAACAAAAAAAAAGATTTAAAAAAAAAAAAAAAACAAAATTCAAATTTTAAAATTTAATTTTTTAATTTTTTTTGTTTCTCTCTTCCGTTTCTCAAAATTAATAAATTAATGATTTGTAGTATTTAATGAATAATAATAATAATAATAATAATAATAATAATAATAATAATAATAATAATAATAATAATAATAATAATAATGTTATTATGTATTGTTTATCAAATTAAATAATTTTCTAATTTAATCATTTATTATTATTATCATTATGTAAAGAAATTTTAATGAAAAATAAGTGCAAAAATGTACGAATAAATTTGATAAGTAAATTAAAAAAAAATTGTTATTAAATAATTATTATCAAATAAGTTAATATGAAATCATTATTAAATAACAATTCCATGATAATAATAGTGAAATAAATATTATTAAATAAATTAATATAAAATCATTATTAAATAACAACTCTATAATGATATTAATAATAATAATAATAAAAAATTAAATTATCAATGAACAAATTTATATTACTAAAAAAAAAAAAAAAAAAAAATTTTATTAATTTTTGCATTAATTTAATTAAACTAAAAAAATTATACTAACCATAACAATGGAATATGGAAGCATTTTCAATACATTTCGATGTTTATCATTTAAATCAAATACTAAACGTTTAGAATATACGCCTGATCGAAGATTAATTATTTCAAACCAATCATTTATTAAATCCATTTCATCACTCCAAATTAATATTGAAATTGTGGAACGTATGCCCAAAATAAATTCAATTTGTTTACTGGAATAAGCAGCCTGAAAATGAATTAAAAGAAAGCAATGATTTGCTTTTATTAAATGTTTTATAAAATAGAAAAAAACAAAATAATAATTTCTAAATGAGTAATTAAAGTAACAGTTAGTTTTTTATATACTTTAGAGATCTAAGTAAGAATAATTTCGTTGAGTATTTTTTATCCAATAATTAACTAATTATCAATTAATTAATTAATTCAATTTAAAACAATTCAGTATGACTCATCAAATTTTAACTTTTATTCATAATGAAAAGGAAAAAAGCGAAATATCAATGGAAATTGATTGAATAGTGCTAAGATTTTCTTGCTTTAATGATATTTCAGAAGTTACATTAGTATAAAATGTTTTAGGCCTAAGAAAATAGCAAATATTAAATGTTACATTAAAATAAAATAATAAATATTGAATTTTCATTCAATATGCTTCAGAGATGGCCAAGCTTTCTCTTTTAGGTATTATGGTTAAATGGTAGCCAAGCTTTTTCTTTTAGGTATTATGGTTAAATGGTAGCCAAGCTTTTTCTTTTAGGTATTATGGTTAAATGGTAGCCAAGCTTTTTCTTTTAGGTATTATGGTTAAATGTAGCCAAGCTTTCTATTTTAGGTATTATGGTTAAATGGTAGCCAAGCTTTTTCTTTTAGGTATTATGGTTAAATGGTAGCCAAGCTTTTTCTTTTAGGTATTATGGTTAAATGGTAGCCAAGCTTTCTCTTTTAGGTATTATGGTTAAATGGTAGCCAAGCTTTTTCTTTTAGGTATTATGGTTAAATGGTAGCCAAGCTTTTTCTTTTAGGTATTATGGTTAAATGGTAGCCAAGCTTTTTCTTTTAGATATTGTGGTTAAATAGTAGCCAAGCTTTCTATTTTAGGTATTATGGTTAAATGGTAGCCAAGCTTTTTCTTTTAGGTATTATGGTTAAATGGTAGCCAAGCTTTTTCTTTTAGGTATTATGGTTAAATGGTAGCCAAGCTTTCTGTTTTAGATACTGCGTTTCAGTAATAACTAAATTCTCGTTTTAAGATAAAGCACTTAAATTGAATTCTTATAGTTATAGCATGATAGATTACTGTAGTAACTTACCGTATAGCATAACTTACTGTGTAATAATATACTGTATAGTGATAATAACTTACTGTACTAAGTCGGATTGCTAGCATAAGCGGTTGTTCAATTTCTTTGATAAGTGCTAGTACTTGAAGCAGCTCACGCCAACCAATACTTAAATTTGGAATTAAAATTTTGAAATGAATTATGACACTTAAAACAAAAAACAAAAAAAAAAAAATGAATTAAAACAGTTTAGATAAAAATAATTATTATGTAAATTTTATTTTTTCTAATTTAATATATTTTCATTTTCATTAATTATTCCTTTAAATTCATTATTTTTCTATTTTTATTATTTATTATTTTTATTAAGTAATATATTTCTATTTTTTACTAATTATTCTTTAAATTAATGACTTATTAATTAAATAAATGTTGAATTACAAAAGAATGACATACTTCAGTTGTGGAATTGTCAATTCTGATAGATTATTTTTTGTCCAACCAATTGAAAGAGTTGCATCCGGAAAATATTCTTTTGCGCTATCAATAAACTCCACTGCATCTACCGGCATCTAAAACAATTATCAATTATTAATTAATAAATAAATGAACAATTATTGATACTATAGTACTAACATTAACAATAATAACAAGAAATAACTTTAACGATAACAACAATAATAGCAGTAATAATAATTAATATTAATAATGATAATGATAATAATAGTAACAACAATGAAAATGGCGATAATAGTAAAAGCGTGGCAATAGTAATAATAATAATATGATGATGATGATAATGATGACAAGAACATTCGAAAAAAATAATAGTAATAGTAGTAATTGCAATAATGTAAAGCTTTAATCATAATTTATGATTAGATTAAAAAAATATTCAAAATTAAATTTGTAATTTCCTTTCTTTGTATACTTAAATCTTGAAATCACAATGAAATTTATAATAATTTTTATGCTTTCGGTAATTTAACAAATAAAAATAGAAATAAATTAGTATTATTAAACTATGCTATGATTATTTTTCTTTATTTAAATTATAATAAACACAAGTTTTAAATCTCATATATGATAATGTTTTCCTCTTTTTTTTTCTTGTAATTATTATATTTTAGTAATGAATTTAATAAAGTTTATCATATCACAATTACTTACTTTTTATCAATCAAAATTATAAGTGTGAAATTTGCAAGCTTCTAATGTTTATGATAATTTTAATGTATGATAGTGATAGTGACAAAATATAGTCTGACAATGAATAATAATAATGTAATAGTGATAAAATATAGTTGACAATGATAATAATAATGTGATAATGATAGTGATAAAATATAGTCTGATGATGATAATAATAATGTGATAGTGATAAAATATAGTCTGACAATGATAATAATAATGTGATAATGATAGTGATAAAATATAGTCTGACAATGATAATAATAATGTGATAGTGACAGTGATAAAATATGGTCTGATAATGATAATAATAATGTGATAGTGATAAAATGCAGTCTGATAATGATAATAATAATAATTACCTCTTTACTTCTAGGTGATCGGAAGACATTTGCATGTAGGACAACAGGTGAAGAAATGTCCTCACTTGCAGCAAATAAATATTGCAATACTGGACGAATTGCTGCTGTTGATCGAACATTAATTTTAATTACTAAAATATAATTTTCTTTTTGATATCATTTTTCTTTCCTTTTTGAAAAAAAAACTGATAAAAATATTTATTTAATTGTTAGTTTTATTCTGTAAACAATTTTATTTATTTATTTTTTTTGTTGCTAAATTTCTGACATTTTTTTTTTTTTTTTATTAAAAAATAAATATCTTTTAACATACCCAATAATTTATTACACTTGATTAATTTAATAATTAAAGCATTTTTAAAATCAATACTTCAAAAAAAAAAAAAAGTTTATTAATCTAATATTGGCAATTATTATTTAAGAAAATGAAAAAATTATTTTATATCTTAGTGTAAAATTTTTTTTTTTTTTTTTTGTTTGTTTGTTTGTTTGTAATAATTACTATTTATTAAATTAACAAATTAATTTAAATAAGAGATTAGAATTGATAGAAAAATGGAAAGAAAATTATAAATATTAAATTATTGCAAACATTTTTGTTAATTAATTAATTATCGTTGCATTTAAATTGATTTAAATATGAATTCAAATTATAATTCATTTAGATTTTAAGCATTTCTCAGAGTTTTTATGTTTAATTATGTTATTGTATCATAATTAATACCTTTGTTTGTAATTAATTTCATTAGGTTTTAAGTAATTAGAATAATGGAAAGTGGAATGTGCAATCCAATGACCTTTGCAAGAATTGTCAACGATTTTAGTCGAAAATGATTGATCGATTAATCATAATTATCGATGGGATCAATAATTATGATGACCTTATGGTTTAGATTTGTAATTACGGACCAAAATAATATTTTTGTGCTATTAATGAATGTATTGAAATGTTTTTAATAAATATTTTTTTGTTTTTTATTTAAAAAAAAAAAGAAAAAGAAAAATGTCACTTAAACTGTTTATTTTTTATTCAAAAAAAAAAAAAAAAAAAAAAAAAAAAGAATTAATCCAAAAAAATTATTTTAAAAAAAAAAATTTTTTTTTTTAAATTATTTATTATAAAATTAAAAAATATTATTTAAAGTTTCAAAAAAAAAAAAAAAAAAGATTGACAAACAAAATTAAACATTCTTTAATGTTATAAATAAATTTTAACAAAAAAAAAAAAATTAATAAAATTAAACACAAAAAAAATTTGAATAAATATTTAATTCAATTATAAAACAAAATTAAACATTTTTTAGTGTTATAAATAAATTTTAACAACAAATGAAATAAATTTAATCATAAAATTTTTTTAAACAAAACAAAAAAAAAAAGAAATTTAAAACCTTTGCGCAATTTTGCAACTTCTCGAAGCCATTCTTTAAATGTTATTCGATCGGCAAACTTCAAAGGTGCGCTCATTAGTGGTATCGCTCGATTATGATGTTTACGTTGATAATAGATGAAAACATCACCTTCAATCATTGTACTTCGTTCCAAAATTGGTCCTAAAAAAAAATTTAAATATTTAAAAAAAAAAAATTTTTTTTTAAATTCTTTCTTTTAAATTTATTTAGTAAAAATGATAAACAAAAGACTTTATTTGTGGGTTAATTTATTTATTTTGAATTAATTTAATGTAATAAATTGCATTATTTTATTTCATTTTTATTTTATTTTATTTTATTTTTATTTTTTGTTTTAAAAATTTATCATAAGAATGTTTTATGTGTAAAATCAAATTTATAAAAACGAATAAAATTTTTTCGTTTTTTGTTTGCAAATTTTTTTAAACACTTATTTATAATTTTGAAATAGAAATTTGTTTTTTTTTTTTGAATTAGTTGAATTAAATATTTGAAATTGAAAAATATTATTATAGCAAATTAAGGTTGGCAATTTTTTAGTCTTAATTTTTGTCTTTCTTTTTTTTTTTTGAAAATTTTTTCACAAATATTAGATTAATTATTTCAAATTTTAATCTTTGATTTCATTTAATTTTACTGCGCAAAAAAAGAAAAAAAATTTATAAGCTGAAGCTAAAACTATCATAAAATTAGCTTATATTCATTTCAAAAATTAATTAAGCAACGAATATTAGCAAATAAAATAATATATTGGCTAAATAATATGATTAATTATATAAAATTTAATATTATAAATTATAAAATGCGATGAATCTTATCCATCTCATTTCAATTTAAAATTTTTAGTTTAATTTCGATCAATTTTGCAACATTTAATTGTAAATGAATTTTTAGCCCATCCAATAATTTCATGCTAATAAATCAAAATTTTTGCTAATATTATTAATTAAGCTAATTTATTACAATTTTTATGTGCCATATGTTACTGCTAATTCACAACTTCTAATTTGATCATTAATCAAATCAATCAAATTTTTAAAAAGCTAAAAGTAAAATGATAAATTCGTTAATTTACAATTATTATAAAAATATATTTCAGAAAAAAAAATTTTTTGTGCTAATTTTAAAATTTTTAATTAAATGAGCTAATTAAATTTTCGCTTTAATTTAAAAAAAAATTAATTTTCCTTTTAATTTAAAAAAATTTATTTTTAAAATTTTTAATTAAATGAGGCAAAAAAAAAAGCGAAAAGACAAGAATTTGCATAAAATGCAACAATTTGCTAATTATAATCGAAAAATAAATAATAAAAAAATTTTGAATGAATGATTGGTAAATATGAAAATGTAAATTTATAAAAAATTTACTTAGTAAATTAATTATTAATAAATGCAATTGAATTCAAACATAAAACAAATTAAATATATTCTTTTCTTTTTTTTTTTTTTTTTTTTTTCAGTTTTAAATTTTAGTTGCACAAATATTCTATGATTTATTTACCATTTGAGAAATATATGTTTATTTACAATAATTGTTTACTCATTTTGTTGAATAATAATAAATTTTATATTTATTTTTAAATCAAATTTTTGTTTCATGCATAATTTTTATTAAATATTAGAATTAATAATAATAATAATTGGAAATTCAAATAAAATTTTGAATTGAAAAATTAGTTTTGCTACTAACAAATATGATAAAATTGAAATCAAATTTTTTTTTTACGTATAATAAATATTTCAATTAAAATTTTTGTAAATTATTGAAAACTATCAAAAATTCCTTCCATACATTTCTTCTTCCTATTTCATTTCCAATTTTTTTTTTCATTTCCAATATTATTATTATTAATTCTAATATTAAAAATATTTATTAACCATTAAGTTGTTCGAGTAATGCTGGCCAACTATTAATTCCATGTGCTATTTGTACTTCACCATCGTTATTACTATCATTACGCCAAATTTCAACAGCTGATACACGTGTTCGTGATACGTAACCTAGAAAAAAAAAATTTTTTTTTTTAATTTTAATTAAAATTAAAAAAAATTAATTTCAAAATTTAAAATTTATATAATAAAGAATATTTACATTTTTTTTGTTTTTCTTTTTTTGATAAAAAACAAATGATTGTTTTAAATGATAATAATATGCTTTTTTTTTTTTTTGTGTCACATCTTTTGTCATCTGTCCTCATATGATATTTGAATTTTCCCGAGAGAGAGAGGGAGAGAGAGAGAGAGAGAGAGAGGTAAATGAAAGAGTGAAATAGGAGAGAGGAATAGTGATAAGGAATGAATTTTAAGTTTATTTTAGTTTTATAAACAAATGTAGTATGAATGAATGAATTATGACTTCTTTAGATGTGCTTAAATTTTTAAATTCTTCAAACTATACGAAATATTCGAAAATATTTTGAAATTCAAAAAAAAAAAAAAAAAGAAATAATAAAAATAAAAATAAGAATTATTTTACAAATAAGTAAATCGTTTAATTTAGAAATGAATAATTTACTTAATTAGCACATAAAGTTTTATTTTCTAATTTAATTTTTAAGTACAACAATTATTACAAAGTAATTAAATAAATTAATTATTAAAATAATAATGAAATCATTTTTCTTTTTTTTTTTTTTTTTTTGAATGATTAAATAATATTATAATTTATGCAATTTATTAAAAAAAAAATAATATTATTATATTCGTTTTTTTTTTTTTTTTTTAAACTTTGAATATTTCCTATATATTTTTTTCTTTTTTTCTTTAATTTTTAAAAGTTTCATTTTTTTTTTTTTTTTTGAAAATTAACAACAATTTGATGAGTTAATCTAAAGAATATTCTTTAATGATAATCAAAAAAGAAAGACACATTTTTGTGTCGCATACTAATTTACAATCATTGTCATTGTCGCTGTCATTGTCATTGTCGCCTTTTTTTATAGATTCCAATCGAATAAAATTGCATTGTTGTCATCAAATGGTAAATTTTTTTTTTTTCTAACATTTTAATTTCTATATATTATCGTCAAATGTTTATTTTAACAAGAATTTATTTATTTATTTATTTTTTGAAGTTTAAATTATAAAATAATAATTTAATAACTGAAATCAGCAAGAAATTATATGTAAAAGGAGAAAGATAAAATAAAATCAATTAAATAGAATTTTAAAATTTATAAAATACTACTAAAGTATTCTCAAATTATAATATAATCAATTTGATGTGAACATCATAAATACTGTTGAATAATTTTTGTAAAATTTAATATTTAATTTTAAACTATACTAGTAAAGAAAGCTAAAAAGAAAAATTGGAACTAAAATTATTATTATTATTATTATTTATAGTACTACTATTATTGTTATTATTACTTTTTTTTTTTGATTACCAAAATTGAAACTTTAAATTTTTAATTTCTAATTAGCCAAAAAAAAAAAATTAAATAAGGAAAAAAAAATAAAGCAAAATAAAAAAAAATAATAATAATAATAACATACCGTAACAACCATTTGCTACCAAACCAACCAACCATAATGCGCAGAAAATAAAATTAAAACAAAACATTAGCCTTTGGCGCAATTGTATTGTTTACTTTGTTTTAAGTGAATTACTGTAAAAGCGCACAAATACATTCCAATAATTCAATGTTTGCAATTAATTTCATATTTTATTTCCATTTTCTTTTGTCGTATTTTCACAATAATATCGTCGTAATTTTATAATTTATAATACTGAAACATATCAAAATTTAAAAATTAATTTATAAATATTCAAATTACGATTAAAAAAAAAGAAAAAAACAATTATCATTAATCAGAAAAAAATTAATTATTATTTTAAATAACATATTATAGAAAAAAAAAAAAAAAATGTTAAAATTGAATTTTTATATCAAAACTATACAATAACAATTCTAATCAATTTTATTTTTCAACAAAAATTTTTTTAAATTTATTTTTCATTATTTTACATTTATTTCTCTCAAAACATTATTCACTTATTTTGTTATGATTTTACAAAATACTTTGTTTTAAAATTATGCTATTTTAATTTCTATTTATTTGCTATATATATATATATATATATATATTCAATTTAAAATTATTTAATTTAATTTCTATTTCATTAAAAAATATTTGTCCTAAAAATTTGCTATGTATACTCAATTTAAAATTATTTAATTTAATTTCTATTTCATTAAAAAATATTTGTCCTAAAAATTTGCTATGTATACTCAATTTAAAATTATTTAATTTAATTTCTATTTCATTAAAAAATATTTGTCCTAAAAATTTGCTATGTATACTCAATTTAAAATTATTTAATTTAATTTCTATTTCATTAAAAAATATTTGTCCTAAAAATTTGCTATGTATACTCAATTTAAAATTATTTAATTTAATTTCTATTTCATTAGAAAATATTTAACCTAAAAATCATTCCTTAACTAAACAAACAAAAAAAAAAAAAAAAAGAATCAAAGATGAAAAAGAGAATTTTCAAATGACCTTGAACATTATACCAACATATCATACCGAAATGTGAAAATGAAAAAAAAAGAAGTGTCATGGTACTCTCTTTTAATACTATTTTATTTTCACTATTACTTAATCAATTTAAATAAGTTAATTTTATATAAATTATTCAAATTTAAACAATACAAAATGATAATTATATCATAATTGATTAACTTATCAAATATTTATTGATTAAATTTAATATTTTTAAATTATTCATTAAATAATTATTTGTTTATAATTTTCTCCTCAATAAACTTTCAAAGAAAAATGAAAATCTTTTTCAGTGCAATGTTAGAAATTAATAAATTATTAATTTAAAATTAATTAAAAATTAATAATTGTTAAAATTTAAATTTTATATAGAAACTAAATTAAAAATTGAAAAATTTTTACTCTTATTTACATGTTTTAATTTAATGTCTAAACAAATTTTTAGAATTAAAAAAAAAAAAAAATTGAAATACTTTGATTAATTAATCAAAATTCAAACATTTTTCTTGATGAAATTTAAATTTATTTTTTATCTAATATTTAAATTTGTTTTGTAAAATTTTTTAAATTGAAAAATTTAAATTTTAGTATAATTTTTTTCTACTTCAATTTGTGTATATTTTTTAATTGAAATTTTTAGAAAAAAATATTTTATTCGTTTTAATTTTATTTATTTATTTATTTTTTTTAGCAAATAAAAGAGATTAAAATTATTTTATCGTTTCTTTTGCTAGAAAAAGTGTAATAAACTGAAATGGAATAATTCTAGAAGTTAGTTAGTAGTTAGTTCCCTGAGGTTTAGATTATGTTGATTGATAAGATGACGATTGACCCCAACTCTCCCTCCCTCTCTCTCTCCCTCCCTCTTTCCCTCTCTCTCTCTCTCTTTCAGCAACCTTTTATTTTCATTTGACCTTTTGTTACCTTTCATTTCTATCTGACCTCTGTTACCTTTGATTAGTTAGCAAATACTACAACACTAAACATATGTTATAGCACTTTAAATTCATAATAAATCTCATAAGTAATTAGTAGGAAAAAAGAAAAGTTAGTTTATTTATTATTTATTTTTCTAAAAAAATAATTTTAATTATAAAAAAATTTTTTTTAAAAAATAAAAATTTCAAAAAAAAAAAAAAAGAAAAGGGACAAAAGAGCAGGTGTTATTTATAAATATAGGTCAAATGAATAGAATAAAAAAAAAAAAAAAAATTAAATAAAATTGAAAAAAATTAATACACAATGAAGATTTCAAATTTTTTTATGTATTATAAAAAAAAAAAAAATTTTTTTTAATGCAAAAAAAAATTTTCATCAATTAATAATCAAATAAATAGAGCAAAAAAAAAAAAGGAAAAAAAGAAAAGAAAATTCTCGAATTTTGTTTTTATTAGTAAAGTAATTATTAGTAAAGATAAAAGGGACCGAAAGAGTAACTTAAATTCTTTTTTTAAAAAAAAAAAAATTTTTTTTATGTGTTTGTTTAGATTAAACATTTTGTTTTGTATTAATTAATTTTAGTATATCATTTTTAATTTATAATATTAAAAACGTATTGTGCTTAATTTTAGGTTACATTAAAATTTTATTTTAATATACGTTGTCAGTAAGAAAAAAAAAAAAATTCATCCATTTATCAATTAATCAAAATATTTTCAAAAAAAAAAGCGAAAAAACTTACTAATAATAAAATAATTTGGGTAATTTTTAATTTTGATAATATTTAATTGTATTTTATAATTTATCAAAATTACCATTGAAATTATTTCAAAATTTTGATAAATATTTAAAAGTGTTATCTCTTATGATTGTATAATAATAATTTCAATTAATTACCTTTTTTTTTCTCTCACTATAATCCTTTTAATTAATTAATTAATTAATTTGTTTATTTGTTTACATAATTTATTGTTTTTTTTTATTTCCTTATTACATAAAAATATTATTTTTCTCCTTTGTCATTTCTTTTTTAATTTTTTTACAAATAATACAAATAAAATTTTGTAAACAAAAAAAAAGTGCGATTAATTAGATTGAAATTTTAATTAATGAAAAATTAATTAAATAAAACAAAAATTAATTAAATGAAATTAATTACAATAGCATAAGACAAATGAAACTATATTGCTTAGCAGTAGTTTTTCCAAACATTTTAAATATTTATAAATATTCAAATCATCGTTATCATACATCGCTTCTCGACAAATTGCGAATGTTAATTTAAAATATAATTAAAATTTAAATTTAGAAATCAAAAATATTCATCAAAATTCAAGATTAAAATTAAATAATAATCGAATTAATTCATATTTGTTGGCCAAAACAAAACAAAAAAAAAAAAAAAAACATTTATTTAAACAATCAAAAATAATTCAATTAAAATTTTATGATTTTAAGCAAAAAAAAAAAAAAAGATTTTCAACAAAGAAGAATTAAAAATAATTAAATTAAATTTGCATTTCTTTAATGAAAAGAGAAAAAATTAAATTAACCAAAAATAATTTAAAAAAAAAAAATAATACAAAATTAATAGCACAAATTTTTATTTTATTTTAAGCAATATTTGATTAATTAATTCGTACATATAGCTTTAGCCAAAAATTCCGAATAAACAACAATATTAATTGTCTAAATTTATTAGTGATAACATTTGATAAATTATTTATCAAATGTTATCATTTAATCAATTTATCATCATCCATCAACAGTACTCCATTTCTTTTAACTCAAATGATTAGCTTCTTGTCCGATTCTTTTGTCATTAATACATCACTAACAGTTGTTTACTTTATTTACAATCTAATCCTTTTGTCTTTGATTTTTTTTTTCTTTTTTCTTTTTCTTTTAGAATAATTTCAAAATTTGAAAAATTTTCCAAAAAAAAAAGAAAAAAAAGAAAACGAAAATTATTTATTTATTTGAAAATAAACAAAAAATTTAGTTTTAAAAATTGACATTTAAAAAATGAAATGAGAATTAAAGGCTTTATCATACATATTAAATTATAGAATAAATTGAAAATTTTAGTGGAAAATTTATAAAAGATAAGAAATTAGAAGAGAAAAAAGAGAGAGAGAGAGGGAGAGGGAGAGAAAGGGAGAGAGAGAGAGAGAAAGAAATGAAACTTTTAAAATTTTGAAGTTAATAACACAATAGACGGATAAATCTAAAATACATCAATCTTTTGCAGTATATATGGATGGTTAAAAGTGTAAACCAATAACCAGGGAATGGTGAGTAACCGATTTCCGGAACGGATAATAACCGAATATAAACAGGAATAGCAGAAGAAGGAGGAGGAGGAGGAGAGAAGGAGGAGAAGGGGAGGAGAGAGGAAGAGAGGAGAGGAGAGGAAAGATGGATGAAAGTGGAAGAAAAGGATGAAAAATTGTGATAAGTTGGAATTTTACTAACAAAAAAGAAAGTATTTCAAACTATTAAAAAAAAAAATTATTATAAATAAAAATTTTTTAAAAAATTAAATTCAAAATATTAAGAAAAAAAGGAGAAAAAAAAATTTAATTTTTTCCTTTTATTTTCTTAGAAAATTAAAAGAATAAATAAGAAAAAAAAAAGAAATTCATTTTCTCAAATGCAAATTTAATTAATCCAATTTTTTTTTTTGTTTCATTTTCATTTCATTCAATGCGTATCACAATGATATGACAATGGTAATTATTCAATTTGAATTTTGTCATTAAAAAATTTTCAACAAATGTTAGAAAGAAAAAAAAAGACATAAAATGAGATTAATGATTGTTTCTTTTTTTTTTTTTTTTTTGATTGTAAATTAAAAATTTTTTGATTTAAATTGAAAAATTTTTAAAATTCACCAATTAAAGGAATAATTAATTTTAACCATAAAGAAAATGCAATTTAGTATAATTTTATAAAGTTTATAAATTTGGAAAAGAATTGAATAGTTCAATGATCTGTAAATAATTTGCAAGAAAGCTTTAAATTAATTTGTCTAAGCAATTATTTGGTAAATAAAATGGATGGTGTTGACATTATTATCAAATCAGTTTGAAAATTTTTGAATATTTTCTTTTA